ATTTTTTAAATTGTTAGCCAAGCACAGAATAATAAAAACAAATATCTCATCGGAAACGCATTTTTCTCGTACTTAATTTAAATAAACTTCAACATTCTACCTCGTACTCTAATTTAACAAAACTACGCTGATTGTTGGTATGATTTCAAGCCACTGTTTGAAAATTAAACTCATCATCGCACATGGAATTTCGACAAGTAAAATCTGTTTATTGATCACCAGGGCAAATTAAGTCTAAATATGAGGTTTATCTCTAAGTACACAAAGTAAAATAAATCCGCGTTAAATTCCGAATTTCTTCTAAAAGTCTAACTGCCGTAAGCCATTAACTCCGCACAGTTAATGTTACTTTATAATTGGCTACTTAATTCGAAGTATCAATCTATGTGAAATCTTTCTAAACAACCCATAACTTGCACATACATACATACAAGTGTGTACCATTGTACTATACATTTTTTCTGACATCTGAATTACTTATTACTATAATATTTAAATATGTAATTAAAAAAAATATTTCTATTATTAAATAGTTATCCTAACCATTCCAGTTATTCAAGCAATACCATATAGGTTATTTTAAATAAGGCTACAATTTGTTTCGAAAGCTTATACTTCATACAAATAAAATTTTATAGTAAAATAATGTCTTCGTTCAGAACGTTTTGACATATGTATGCTATTTGTTATCTATTTATATTTATGTTTAGTAGTTCCTTAATTGTATCCCTCAGAGAAGGAAGAATATATACTGATAATTTGGCTAAGGAACGTAAATGTACATACATATGTACATAAGGAATAATTAACCCATGTGCATGACATTTTACATAATTTAGTGATGTGTATATATTTACTTTGCACACATGGATATGAACATATTAAATTCATTTTTATCAAATTTTGGCTAATTAATTTGACAAACTAGATAATTAACTCTTTATGTATGCATGTTTTTTTGCATTCGTATGTAAAACTTGAGCAAAATATTGATGTATGTACATCTTGTTATCATGACTTTTATAGCGGGGTAATGCGATTCATATCCTTATTTAGTATACCTATATTTATCCATGTTTTTATTAAGGTTATATTAATTAAGGGCGATGCAATGTAGAATAAATCACAAACGAGATTACTGCATGTGTAGATTTTGCTGCAATTTTGAGTATTTACAATTTTACTATTAAATTTGCAACAAAGCTTTAACCGTGTAATCGATAATGGCCTGATTATATATGCACACAAATTCTTTGCTAATCTTCATCTGAATCTCTCTCCCAAATCCGACATATATTTCGACAGGTCGCATGGCTCTTAACCGTTTCCGGTATATTTTTCCTGCCACGGTCCCCATTTTTGAGTCGACATCGCTCACCCAAAATTTCACCATGCGTTCGCTCAATTCCGTACATTCAGCAACAAAGGTCAAGACACTGTTTAATATTATCGTGATAATCACCATGGCAACGAGAAACATTGGGTAGACATTGAGCGGAAAATGAGACCTCATTGTAATGGTGACCACGTTGCAGAAGATGATTGCTGACCCGCACACGATGAGAAGGAATGCCGCAATGACGGCGAGGTAAGGTCCGAGTCGGGCGAATCCAATGATAATCGTGTTATACAGAATTATGTAAATCCTGGGAAAATTAAGAAATGTAAGTATGTAAATTTGGCTACTCAAGAAATGTGTGAAATAAATATTCTTTGGAACAATAAATTAACAAAACAGTAAATTTGTCTGCAGTTATGTCAACTTAACAAATTGAAATACTTGATCCGAGGGAATTTTGAGAGAAATGTTATATAATATCTTTCTGTATTAAGTAAAAATTTGACTTTGATTTGTACAAAATTTCGCCGGTGTGAATCATGCATGATATTCAAATGCACTCTTACAAATAATATTACCTTTTTTGAAATCAAGTGCACTCAGAACGCCATATGAAATAATCTATACTGAATCCAGAGTAAAGTCTACTGCTTATCAAGTCAACGTTACTGTGGATTTTGTACACTCAAAACAAAAATGTGTCAAATCAACACCGCCGGTGTCAATATATGACTTAACTGCGTTAAAATGTTGATTGGGAGTTATGATGATTTTGACACCGGTAGCTATAATGTTATCACCGGACGGAAAAATTTCATTACTACCCGGAATCACTATTGTAACCAAGGCGGTTAAGTCATATATTGACACCGGCGGTGTTGATTTGACAAATTTTTATTTTCAGTGTATAGTTTACTTCACATAAAATTCAAAGTGCGATTACTTGGGTAACATTATTTTTACTCCAAATTTCTAACTATGTAGAGTACATATGTATGTATGTATATAAGTGCGTAAAACACATCGCAATATAGATAAATCACCGACCTGAACTGCTGTTCCTCCGATTTTCTCATGGCGTCATAATCCTTCCCCAAAAGCCGAATATCATGCCTCAACAACCACGCCGGACACACGAAGATACACCCGGCCGCGAGAAATACCCGCCCCGATGAGAGCGTTGCCAGCGCTACCATGACAACGGAAAAGACCTTAAAGCCCAAGTACCACAGGAGGGAATAGCTCTTCCAGTCCGGTTGTAGGAATCGCTCCACCACAAAAGTTAGTGGATCCATGCCTTCAATTACCCCAAAAATTCCAACCGTTGGCGCCCAGTAGGCCCAAAGTAGGGGGACATAACTGAATATTTTTACCAACCGGGTTTCCCTCGGGGTCAATTTACCCCGATAAATTTCAGCCCGGCTAACGAGCAGCTCTTCCATGTCGAACAAGGAATTTATCGTGGAAACGGCTTCATCCTGACAAATCAGTGCGAAACAGGACAAGCAGATGGCGCCACCGCAGGTCAAAATTGATATCGCCACGGACAACATTTGCATCGGGGTGGCAAAAACGTCTTGATTCGGATAATGGCCGAGTTCCATGTATTTTCTAAAGACATAGTCAAGTTGGGCTAATTTTGGTAGGAGGACGCATATCCCCATGGTAACCAGGCAGTCGAGACCCCATCCTGCCAATTCTTTAGGGTTATGCACGGCAACAACTCGGTGAGACTTTCTACTCCAGATTATGGGAAGTTTGGAGAATTTTTCGATTTTTAGGTAATAGGAATCTAAAATTTGGTAAATTACTTGAGCCATTTCGTACCCCAAGAAAGAGGAGCAATTGATGTGTGTCTGCCCTGTTTTTTACTAGACGGGTTGTCTGGTAAAAAAATAAAGGTAATTCTAATAAATTGGTAAATTTGGTATTTTATATAATGAAGTGGTATATATATTTATGTATATTTCATTGGAAATATATTTCAGACGCATTTTTAACGAGTGTTAAGTACATAGCTCAATTTTTGGTAAAGTCAACTATTTTCATTACATAACAATTTATGTAGTTAAAGAATAAATGTATAATTCGTCATTCAAAATATTTAATGGAGGGCTGGTACGTTTCTACATATGTGTCTTTACATAAAGGTTTATATTGGGGGCACGTGCTTACGTACATAAACCCAAAGGTCGTATGTATGTACATACATACGTATTTAGTTTACACATAAAGTTACATATTATGTAACTTTTCGGTTTAATTTTGGATAAATTTGTATAATGTGTATAATTTGCATACATATATGCATATTACGAATGTTTGCAAATTATGTAAACGATTTAAAAATTGCACTTAATTACAATCCGCTATTAGACTAAAAACACATATTACCTAATTAATAATGAAAATGATTAAGGGTTTCGTTTTTGTAAATTATTGTAATTTTTTAACAAGACAATTAAATATTTACTGATTTGAGGAGTTCATCTCATACAAACCTGCTAATTACATACATATTTACCTGCTTTATAAAATCCGTCGGTTTTTCCGTATATCTGTAACAAACTCATTACCGACCGATCCAATAATTTTTTTAAACTTTGTAATCAACCACATTTAAGGAAATATTTCATAAATAAGACGATACGTGTTTACATAAGTTGAAATTTGTGCCAGGAAATATGTTTACCTACAAAAAAATACATGTGTAAATTACGTCTGATAATACGAGCTAAATTAACTTAATTACTTCAAAAGCAACCAACGAGGATCATCATTTCAATTAATGTTACCCATACAAATATTTTACATAATCATTTTGCATGAAGGTATGCATAAATTATCTTGCATGCATTTAAAAGAGTAATTTTTAAATTCATGCACTAAATACGAGTTCTAACATTTATGTTTATGTAATTTCCTGATGATGATGACGCATCTGCACTGCCTTTCTACGTGTTTACACACACGTACGCACTTGATTTTGCTCTTGATTTTGCAGGTATGCAGTTATCATACCTGCAAAACTTTTAACCCTTTAACGTGTATGATTAACGACAAGAAAATGCATTAAATCGGGGACACTATAAGTATGTTGTGGTCATGGCGCGGGAGGAGAAATTCAGGAGTTTTTAATAAAACTCGAAAAACTGAAAAATCAAAAATTTAACATTGCGTTGTATAGGGAAATATCCAAATTTTTGGGAAGAAAATCTTCAAATTTAGCATTGTGTTGGCATAGGAGAAATCCCTCAAAATTGCAACAAATTTTAGGTCGCGGAGAGAAAATGGTGAAAATCAATGACCTCATAGAAACGACAATTGTCGTCCTTCCGCGCCATGACCACGATTTTTCAGGACGACTTTAGTCGTACTCCCGAATTAAACCATTTATTATAAAACGACAATTGTCGTCGTTACAGTTTAAAGGGTTAAGTACATAAGTACCTGGTCCTCTCAACAAAATAATGAATCAGAAATCCAACCAGAACCAGAACCGGTTACATTCATAATCCATACACTTCTATCCTAAAAGATGAAGGAGGACAAGTTTACTAAACAAGTTTTCAGATCTTTTCCTGAACTGACATGGTCATCACTCGAACTTCATCTTTCAATTCTTATGTAGTTGGACTTGCATAAACACCAGAAGTACCATTAGGATAACTGCGGTGTACTGTACACATACAATCACAACAGACACATACATATTTATCTAAATAAATATCTATGAACAATTTAAAAAATAATGTTATCATTTTGAAATTTCAATTTTATTTGAAGTAAACTATACTAAATCCAGAGTATCGTTAACTTGGCAATGAGCAAAATTTACTCTAGATTTACTTTAGAATTTAAAGTACATTTACATTTTAAAGTGGTGGCATTATTTTTAAGAGTGTTCATATGTATCTAAATCTGCATAAATGTAGATAGGTCAATTTTATTTTTGTCCCATCCAATGCAGGTATACATACACATAGTTAAATATTTAAATAAATTTTTACCCAATGAGTCAATCATGACTGGTATAAGGACATACTTGTTAATTCGCAAATCATAAAAATCTCTCTTTATTGTCCATCTCTAAATAAAACGAGTCTATAAAATCTCTAATGTGAAAATTCAGGTTTTTTTAATTTTCTCGTGTCAATACACAATATTGAAACCAGTCCTCAGTGTATGGATTGATGTCAGTGAGAAACAATCTTCCCAGTACAAGTGTCAATAGTTTTACAAAATGGCACAAGTTTTGCACAGTTTAATTATTTTCGTACAATCCGTCCTCGCATATTTTTTTCTGCCGTTATTCGCACTTTTCATAGGGATAATGATTGTTTGGAGAAAGTGTGTAAATATTGTGGTGCAAATTATCAAAGCACGTGACGAAACGTGGATCATGCTACCGGCGAGTGCGACGGTGATGGGTGAGTTAAAAATTACATACAAATTCATAAGGGACTAATCATAATTTGTTCATAAGAATAATTTTTAATTATTGAAATTTTCGCGAATATTACAACATGTCGGATTTTGTAAATGTTTTTCGGCCGAATAAGTTGTTGGAATTTTACAAATTTTGGAAATTCTAATAATTTGAAAATAAGCAATATTTAGCCTTTAACGTGCTACCGCTGCTGGTGGTTTGCTATTTATTATGTGAGTTATCTGGTCACCCAAAGAAAGGCTTACAATTTCATGCTTGACATTTCATGATTAAGCATTATATTCAAGTTTGTAAAAAATTTTCATGTTGCAATTTTTCAAAATGTGAAAATATGTAAAAGCTTAAAAATTCGAGCACAAAACCAAAATATATTTATATGAAGGTTCGAGAACGTATGGACATTGGGGATTTTGAGTATTATTAATTATGTCTAATTTCAAAAATGTCCTGGAAAACCTGAGAATATTTAAAGTTATTCATTACGAAAAATATTTAAATTAAGAGCTGCAGATTTTTGCGCATGGACAAATTGAAATTATTTTTTTCGATTACACACTGCTGCGGACACAAAAATCACAGAAATTACATAATTGTGTACATACTATTTTCAGTTTCCACCTCGCCATACGGGCCTCATTCATGGTCAGTCTTCGTTACCATGAAGGTTACTCGGGAAGCGGTGAACTTAGAAAAATTACGGACAGATTTTTACCACAATGTTGTACAAAGATTGGCGAGAAATTCGGAATCAAAGCTTTATCCAGAATTAACCTCTTGTCTCACGGAACGGTTCGGGTACTATTTTTGGAAACACTGTCCAACATTTAGTATTGAAGAACAGATACATTATTTAGGTACGTCTTAAGGTTACATTAGCTGACACGGTTTCGTGTGGCATAGATTTTTAATCTCATGCTCCCCCTGTCCTTAAATGCAAATTTCTAAAATGGCGTCAATTTCATGAGTTTTAAAACAAATGAAGTTTTGATACTTTAATGTAAAGTTATTTTTTTGGTACAAAAACCAAAAATTTGGATTAAAAAAATAATTGCACATTGTTTCACAAGGAATTTTTTCGAAAATGAATTTAATTTTTTTTGGAATTGATAGTTTCGAAGTAACCAAAACTTAACTTTACATTAAAGCATCGAAACTTGCATTTGTCTTCAAACTCATGGAAGTGACGCCATTCTAGAAATTTGCATTACAAATATTTAACAGGGGTAGTTTAAGATTTAAAATCTATCATGCAGTTATTCCACCTTAATCTGCATTTTTATGTAAATTTTAAGTTTTGTTCCCCAGATTTCCCGGAAATTCAAAATGTTGAAGATCCCCACGACATGAACAAACTTTCAAACTATTTACTTCGAGGGAGGCGGTGGAAAGAGGGGAAACCGTTGTGGGAAGTGCTCCTCCTGCGAAATAAGGGTGTCAAGAGTCTCGTAATTTTCCGCATTCATCACGTGATCGGGGACGGGCATAGTATTTTGAACATGTGGGACAAAGTATTCACGACGAAGGATGCCCGCCCAGTGTTGCAGGGTGCCCCAGTCCAACAAAAGCGGGATGAGTCGAGCCTGGACAAAATTTGTTCTGTAATTTTGGCACCGTATCATCTTGTCAAGTTGTTCAGGTCATTGAGCATGAATCGTGATAAGCTTCCTTGCAGTAAGTTTTTCATAAATAGTTTCCAAAGGGATATGTATGTAGCATCCAAATTAAATATATTTCTGAAGTTCAATGAGCCCCCAAACCATAAACTAGGGCACACAAAATCGAAAGATTTAAAAAATCAGTTTTCGATTTTTCTAATTTTGGTAAGCCTTCTTAAAATGGTTTTCAATATTTCCTATTTTGGGAACGCATCTTGAAAATGGTTTTACGATTTTCCCAGTTTATTGTTAATTCTCGAAGTAAACGGGATAGATTTGATTTGAATTTCAGCCCTCATCCAATATTAATCCGGCGGGTACGTGATTTCGCCACGTGATTAAAAAATCCATCCCATTTACTTCCAGATATCAGAATAGGCAAACCTTCGTATGAACGGTTTTCGATTTTTCAGATTTTTGAAATTTTAGTAAAACCGGTTTTCAATTCTTTCCCCCTAATCGGTTTTAAACCGGTTTAACCATTACCTATTTACATATCCTGGTAATATTTAAGGTAGAACAGAACGTTGGTGTTAAGCAAAAAAATAAATTAATTCATACATGAAAAACAGGAAATGGCAAATTGCTACCAGCTCCAAAATAATTTTACTTATAGTAATTCGAAAACCGGTTTTATAAAAATATTTCATACTAGCCTATAAGCCCGTCTTAAAGACGGTCCACATCAAGTTTTAAAACAACACAACAAAATCATTCGATGAAACCACCACATAACTGCGGCGATGTACCAATTATGTACAACACAACCAAATTAGAATTTAATAGTAAAACAGCATCCACATATATTAAAACATCGAAAAGGCTGTTCCGTTAAACTTTCCAGGACATTCCTTCATTCTGATTGATTTCAGCTTCCTTAGGAAATTTTTTAACTTTGCTAAGGAATTTTTTCAACGTTACTAAGGCATTCTTTTAACTTTGCTAGGGAATTTGTTTAACGTTGCTAAGGAAATTTTTTAATTTCGCCAAATAATTTGTTTAACATTGCTAGGGGATTTTTTCAACGTTGCTAAGCCAGTTTTTTAACTTTGCTAAGGAAATTTTATAACGTTTCTAAAGCAATTTTTTAACGTTGCCAAAGCAATTCTTTAACGTTGCTAGGGAAATTTTTTAATGCTGCTAAGGAATTTTTTGAGGTTATTAAGCCGAATTTTTGACGTTGCTCAGGAAATTTTTTTATATTGCTAAGGGAATTTTTTAGCGTTAATAAGGAATTTTTTTAACGTTGCTAAGGACTCTTTTTTGACGTTGCTAAGGATTTTGTTAAATTTGTTAAGAATTATTTTCTGGTTGACCATTATCGAAATCATAACCAAAATCATAATCGAAACCATAACCGAAATCATAACTGAAATCATAACCGAAATCATAACCGAAATCATAACCGAAATCATAACCGAAATCATAACCGAAATCATAACCGAAATCATAACCGAAATCATAACCAAAATCATAACCGAAATCATAACCGAAATCATAACCGAAATCATAACTGAAATCATAACCGTAATCATAACCGAAATCATAACCGAAAGCATAACCGAACTCATAACCGAAATCATAACCGAAATCATAACCGAAATGATTACCGTAATCATATCCGTGCTGTGATTGGTGGAGCCAGGAAGCCGGCAACCAATCAGAATGCAGGAATGTCACGGAAAATTTCACGGGACGGACTTTTCGAAATTATAATATAGATGAAACTGGTTTTATCTCAAATTTAAACCAAACCCGGTTTCCAGTTAGATCGAAAACCGTTGTTAAAAAATTGGAAAAACAGGTTTTGAAGGCCCTAATGTAAATTAAATTTACATGTTTTCTTTTTTCAAGTCGAGGCGGACCCTGAGGTCGAAACCGTGTGCGCAGCGTCTACGGAAGGTCTACCGATGACGGAAATGAAAGCAATTCGGGCTAAATTCCACGTCTCATTTTTACCCGTTTTACTCGCCGGTCTGGCCGGTGCGGTTCGTCAATCCTTTGTCACCAAGGGGATCAAAATACCCGAAAAGATACCCGTCTTAAGTATCATTCCGAGGGGAATTCATCCAGAACAAAATCTTAATCATGGGTACGCAATACATAAATGTCGTTATTGAAGGGGGCACAAGAAGACTGATGTTTAACCTTCTAGATAGACCAAAAACATACAGGGTGGTTAAAATGTCACGCTACAATGGAAAATTTTTCAATAGGAGAAATTCGTAAATTTCCATTAGTTATAAAAATTTTGCCTTTAAAATTCATCATTTTAAGAATTTTGTCATCAGTGTTCCATCAGTTTTGTTATAATAGTAATTATAAAAATCTCAATCCAACATCTTGTAACTAATGGAGATTTAGGGGTTTTCCCCATTGGAAATTTATCCACCGTAGTATGACATTTTAACCACCCTGTATGTATTTACTTACATAATTTTGTGTAAAATAATCAGCAAGGTTAAAAATCAATGTTTATCATTTTGGTTCTTAAACGATAGTATTAGATTCAGGATATTCACGTTCACGACAAATTTACAACGTTAAGCAAACAACTGAGCTTCACACATTCGCCCATAAATTATAGCTAAAAATTTTGTTAGCAAACTTATCTACGCATCCTCAAGGTTAGTTCAAATTGTGTTTTCAAAATTTAATTTTCAAAATTTTCAAAATGTTGCGATGCGAACTTACATATTTACGAACTCTTTTATTGAGTACCCCCAATATTTCATATCAAAAGGTATTCCATACCCAATTTATCATCCCAAAATATACTTCCACATAGTCATACTGTCATACATATATAGATATTTATGTATGACATTGAGCAAATTACCATATAACTAATGCCAAACTTAGCATAACTCATTTTTGGAAACGATTAGATTTGCAGGAAAATTTACATGTTAATTAATCATATCACTAGCCAATTTAAGTTTGCAGAAGTCAAATTTTTGCAAAATTAGTTGCAATAAGTTGCAATACATATGAATGTGTTTATCATGCCTAAATTTTTTCAAAATTTTTTCAGCACAATTTGCATAATTCTTCTCCCGGTTGGAGAATCTGATCCAGTTCAGCGTTTGAAGATGATTTCAACCAGTGTGACATCCTACATTAAATCTAGTCTGCCCAATTTCCTTTATCTAATTGGTCTCTGCGAGGGCTCTCTACCAATTCCGTTGGTACGTGCGATCAATAAAAACCCAAAAGATGACGTTCCGCTCGTCCTGACCAATGTGGTGGGCCCTCCGAACCGATGCTTCGTGGCAGGCGAGGAGATCGCCAGGATTCAAATGGGACAAAATATTCCTCTCCAATTTTCATCAGGTTTGAAATTAGACAAATCTATGGCTAAAGTTATACAAAATACACTCTGAAGCAATTCACGTGAATTGCTTCAGTATTTTTAGCTTATTGATCATGTAAACTTACAAACCAAAAAAAATCCGTCTCATTTTCATAAGTTTTTTTAAATTTCGTAAGCTAAATTACCTTCGAGATTTTCGCAATGTTTGTAAGCTTACGTGGTAACGGAGTTACAAACGGTGGCGTGAATTGCCTCATTGTTGCACTTCGAAAATCAAATGCAAATGCATTCTCAATTTTAAATTACGTTATTAAAAGCGTAAAGTTTTCTCTGAATTAGAATTTTTAGTTTACGTAATATCGAGTTCAAACTGCATTTACTTTGCAAAATGGGAACATTATTTTTAAGAGTGCAATATTTGATTTTTGATTTTGCACACCCTGTCAGGATTTGCGTATGGGATTGCTTTCTTGAGCTACGATGGTGACACGACGCTGGGAGCGATCGGTTTGGAGGATTACTTTCCCAACTTGACCATCCCCCAGAAGATTATGGCAGACTGTATCAACGAATGGAAGGTTTTACTGGATGCCAACATCGACAAGCATGAAGGCGTGTCTCGAACATTCGCAGTTTAAGTACAAAGATCGTCTACGTAAATATGTATGCATTCCGAGCTTTTGATGACTGAGGATCAGTGACACATTGTTGTCTTTAGGAAGCTATTTCAAAAAACGGGGACGCAGACCATGTTCAGCCCAGATTATTTTTGACCATGTTTGTTTGCTCTTTGGAAACAACATTTAGTTCGGCACTTGAGAAGATGCGAAAAATTCCGCAAGTTCTTGGCACCAGAAGTTTGCGAATACGCGCAGTTTCCAGCGGAGTCTGCGTTTGTGGCAGCAGTTGGCAATTGCAGGTTTCCGCGACCTTACGGCGCCCAGAACTTGCTTAATTTTTCGCATCTTCTCAAGTGCCGCACTAAATGTTATTTCGAAAGAGTTATTTTTTCAAACTAACATGGCAAAAAAATAATCTGGGCTAAACATGGTTTGCGTTGCGTCCCCATTATTTGAGATTAGGAAATAGGTAAAGTAAATAGTTCAATTTATTACTTTAAAAAATAACAACTTTTAGTGCAACTTTACACAGAAACTGTATGTACAAAGAAACTAATTCCATGAAAATAAATTGCTTAAGCGAAACAATGCAAATTCCAAATATTTTAAAAAGATTTTCTTGAGATGACTACGTCTCATTAGTAATTGACCCTTTTCTCGAAAATGTTAATTTAAAAAATGCGAAACATCAAAAAAGTTGATTTTGTCATTGGATATGATAGAGCAACTATCCGAGATCACAAAAATGTAAAATTTGTCAAAATCTGAGCAAAATTCGATTTTTGACGGTAATTTAAACTCGCAATAAAATGAATTATTTTCGGATTTCTTACAACCTTGAGTTGGTATAGCTGTCGCAATTGGCCCCATGAAGTCTCGAACCCTTCTACATTTTTTTCTACACAGAGCCCCACAACATGTCCAAACTAAAAGACATCAAAATCTGGCGTTGACAATCTCCGACGTTTTGTGGATTGCAGTGCAACAAATAAATGCGGAAGAGGTGCAAGAAATCGACGATTAACGAAGCCATTGGCAAATTGTAAAATCTGTGCGTTTTGTAAATGTTACAAACTTTCACTAAATAAAAAGACGCCCTGATCTGAGCAAGTTTCAAAACTTTGTCAGCTAATTCTCCTTATAAATATTTTTAAAATTCTGTAAAGTGTATAAGATTACTAAACTTTGGGATTTTGCAATGTTACCAATGACTGTCAACTGTGAATTGTTGGAAATTCAGAAAAATGTGAAATATCTTATTCCCTCACCGGTAATAAAAATGAAGGCAAGTACATATCAAGTACTAATTATACTAATAATCAATCAATACTAATAATTACTAATTAAACAGTCAAGTCATCAAATATAATAATGAAGAGCAAGTATCAGGTACTAATAATACTAATAATTAAGAATTAATCAGTCGTCAAAAGTCAATAAAAAATCTTTCCATATTCATATGCATATAAATAAATTTACATACTAAATCAATTCTTCAAAAACACATGCATACTAATAATTAATTAATACTAATAATTATCAATTAATCAGTCATCAGATATCAATAAAAATATATTCCTATGCATACAAATAAATGTACATTCATACTAAATAAATCCTTACAAAAAATAAATGCATGCTAATGCCTAATAAATAACAAGGGTATTCATTTCCAGTTTGAATCGTTAGCACAAAAAAATACCTTAAAATTCATTTGCCAACTTGCCCACCTCAAAGACTAGTAAATATTTAGTTAGCAATTTTTTTCAAAATTATGTTACGATTCGAACACGTAATGAATACTCTTAACAAACATTACAAATAGTTAATTACTCAGTCAATTCATAAATATTGTTGTCATGCCTTCATAAATCCTATTAATTCATGCAATAGCACAATAACTTCCCCACTTTACGGCGCACCTTTCCATATCGACTTGCTCGATGTGCGCCAAAATCGTGTTAAAGATGTCTGTAACTGACTCCTGGTTCTGCGAGGACGCTTCCAGAAACTGAGCCTTCCAAGAATTCGCCAATTTCCTCCCTTGTTCCGGAGTGATCTCTCGTTCGTCCTGGAGATCCTTCTTATTTCCTACCAGGACAATGGGCACGTTCACCGACCCTGTCATATCCAACAGCTTATCGTGGATTATCTGGACGACCTGAAGCGATCTGGGATCTGTGACGGAGTAGACGAGGACATAGCCGTGAATATCCATGGAGTACTGGGTCGGAAAGATGGAGAATCTGCAAGACAAGGGGAAAAAATTTGTTAGAGTTTTTGGAAATTTTGGGTTGATTTAAAAAAAAAATTAATTTGCAAGATTATTTCGCAAATTTATCACAATAAAGCGATAGGAATGCGGAATGATACAAATTATGAAAACTAAATCAAAATATGGCAATTTAAATAGGTTTGTGAAATTTTTGAAATCATATTTTTCGAATCCCTCCAAATTTCTGGTTTGAATTTCCAAGATTATTTCGCAAACTGATCATAAATCTGTGGACATTAAATCATAATAGGATAAGAGGATTGTTTTTGTGGTTTTTTGGGAAATGCGAGAACCTCAAGTTTCACAATAAATTTGCTAATTTTAATCATAATTAATTAAAGTAGTGTACAAATTTGGCAACACTTACTCATCCTGTCCGGCCGTATCGACCAAGGTGACGAGATACTCTTGTCCCCTCAAGTTCAGATTCTTGTTGAACGTATTTTGAATCGTGGGGAGATACGCCTCGAAAAACTCTCCGTTGACGAACTGCGAGCTTATCGAGCTCTTGCCCACACTCCGGAACCCCAAGACAGCAATCCGACGCTGTTTTGTGCGCATCTTGATAAGATTTAAATAAATAATCTTCTTCTAACCGATTTATCCACCACGAGAGACGAGATCTAAAAAGGTAAATAAACAATTAATTATTTAGTTCGTGGTAAATATTTAAATTCATTAATTAAACAATAATTTACAATTAAAATAATAAAAAATAAAAAATCCTACTACTTACCAATGAATTTAAATTCGAAATTTGCTTCGAAGAAGAAACGAAGGCAGCAAGTCCAACGGTTTCTTTTGCCAAATGGGCACTTACCGAAGTAAATACGCATTATGTTGGTGGGCCAACACAACGAACGGTTGGGCGGGCGGATTGAGTAGATGAAGGGGTAAAATAGAAACCCCTTTATAAGATCGTTACGTCTGTCTGTCTGTCTGTACGTTGGTCAGAGAAAAAATGAACGGCTGCGAATTTGGAGATGTGGTTTTTTGTAACGTGTTTCAAATTTTTGTGGGGAGGAGTTCGGAGAGGGTAAGACCAAACCCCTCGAAAAGTTAGTGGTGTGCCCTAGGGTTTTACATTGTCAACTTGTCATGACATTTTGACATGTCATAACTGTCATAAATGTCATAAATGTCAGACATTTATTTTTATTGACAATTATGACATTTATGAAAATTTGTCAAATTCGAAATTGTCAACTTTTCTGTCGACTTGTCATTGACAATTATGACATTTTCATTTTTTTTATCGCATTTTCTCCAAACAAAAAAATTATCGTGGGCGGTATATTTTGTTTCTCAGCTACAAATCTTTCCTCTCATATACTTTTTCACTACGAAAAACACTTAAAATATTATATTGACGACTTCCGTTCGTAAAATTATAACTTATTCCGTTTGTGTCTGATCATCAGTTTTATTCGGAGCATTTATTTGGAAGAGTTGGTTCCTTGCATGTTGCTTCCAATGATATTGACCTGAAGTCTGTCTTTTCTTATAACATAAAATGTTTTTCGTTAAACATGAGAGCAATATGAAGCTTGGACCACTTGTAGTCTACAGAGTTTAGTAAGGTCATACATATATTAATTCACTCGATACATATTTCATCCAGCAGAATATACAGGAAGTTGCAGCCAGCTCGGTGAATATTTTCTAAAAGTTTCTACTTGCGACCAACTAGGTAGAGTTAACTGCAACTAATTGAGGTGACTGCTATCAATGCTACAACGTTTAAATATTTACAATGGTAGACCGGGAGACTGAATCTTACTTGGCAATCAAACAAAGAGAACAATAAATAAAATTCAAGCAGGCGGAAAAGAGGAAATTGCTAACTTAAAAGTTCTTCAATGAAATTGTGAACGGTCGTAATTAAATTTGACGTTATACTAATCCTTAGATATATATTAATACGATTGGATGCCGATTTAACAAGAATATTTGTTGACTCGTTGAATTGCAATGAGAGGAAGAAGAGTTTTAATAGCTGCTACCAAGATTACCTGTTCAAGGGGCATATTGAGATTGACAATTATGACAAATGTCATAAATGTCCGTCATATTTGTCATAAATGTCATACATTTTGAAGCTTTGACATTTATGACAAAAAATTGACAAATTGACATGTCATGACATTTATGACATGACATGACATTTATTCCGTTGACACTGACAATGTAAAACCCTAGTGTGCCCAAAGATAAAATAATAACGAGAAATAAAATAATAAAGAGAAAACACGTGAGACATGTCGATTTTAACAGATTTTCAACGCGAATATGATACCCCTTTTGACTTACGATGTCCCGATGACCGTGTGGACGAGGTCTAAGGTCTCAAATGTCAAAAAGATATCGGGTGTGTCAATTTTAATAGATTTTCTACGAGCAAAAGTAATATCTAGATTCGTTTTGACATACTGGTTTCACCTCTTGGTTACATGCGTTTGTAACGGTATTTTATGGCAGACTTCATTTTTCTAAAATTTGAGGAGATGAATAAATTCTTAATTGATTTCGAAGTAAAGGTAAAGTTTGTATTTTTTACTCTCAAATTTGAAATTCCTTAGGCAATATTTTTGCATGCAAAACCCGAATGAAACGAAATATTTAATAAAAATCAAACAAATTGGTACGGATTGAAAAAATGCTAGAATGCAAAGTAAAAATGAAAGAATTAACTAGTTCATTCCTTGAATCATTTATTCACGCAAAATATTTACATCACAATTTTAATCGACATGAAAAATTATTAATTACTGAAATTAATTCATGGATAAATTAAAATTACGAGAGTAATCACCCTCTTTTCAAAATTTCAAGTTCCCGCATCGATAAAACAAAAATTCCTCATTTTACAAAATTTTACATATTTGAATCACCCAAAAAATTAGTACTTATTAATCCATTTAATTAAAAAGAGACATTTTTAACTGCTTAACTGTCACCATAAAATTCTCCCTCAATCATTCTAAATTTGGACGCGGATATTTTATTCGACGCTATGAAATCCAGTGTAATATTCGTGGATTCCGTGCTTAGCTGGAAACATAATTAGTATTAATTAGTAAACAAAAAAACAAGTTAAGCTTAATAATTAATTAATCAGTTCACAAATTAACTTTTAGCCACATTTACTCACATCCAGGCCAGCAATTGTGACCTCGTCCATCTTATCCATCATGAGAAGCAGCTGCTTAAACAGGGCCATCTCATCCTCGGTAAAGGTTCTGGTAATGGTTGTGGTCGCATATCCGCTTTCTTTCCAACAGCGCGTCTTAATTTCGAACGATGTCAAGCCTAAAAATTAAGTTGAAAGTTGAGAAATATTCACATACATATATTTGATAGGATTTATGCACATGCATTTCCAAAATTTTACACTATTTTCAGTTTAACTCACGTTGGAACAATTCCCCGCCTTGTAACAACCCCTGGAGAAACTCTGTACCGGATACTTGGATAAGGTCAACGTCAAACGTTTTAACGCATTCCAACGCCGACACGCCTCCAGCACGACGTTCACCTCCAATCTATCCAATTTGCAGTCGAACCCCATTTCGGCCCATCGAGCAATCTCCAACCTCTCCACGTTCGGAAACGCCGTCGCCACTCCGTCCAAAAGTTTTGGATCGTACACCTCGATAATCTTCAATTTCCTTACACTTGGCAGAATCATTTGCTTCTTGAAAATACGTCGTAAAATTTCATCCACACCTCTCAACTCTTGCAGGTCTCTTCCAAGCACCAAAGTTTCCAGGAACGGCATCATTTCAATATTCTGCAAAAAGTCGGAACATCGAAACATTTCGACGATACGGTTGGAAAACTTTCGTAATTTTGGCATCCTTCTCGCCAAGTGGAATCCGACAGGAGACGAGTTTCCGAAATCGTAGCCCTCTCGCGGTACTAGCAGAAGAGCGTTTTGAACAGTGCCCAAAGACAGGCCGACCAGTTGGTCGTTGACCTGGTGCAACATGTCAGAGAGTCTGGAATCGTTCTGTATCTCTTCAATTTCATATGGGTCGACTTCATTCAGCGAGATGTGCAAGGATTCGAGACACTTGGAATTTGCCAAATTTGGATAGAATCCCCACGGAATGGTGACCTCTCTCAAATTTGGCGAGGCGTTGACGACCAATTGAATTACATTAGCGAGAGTTTTGACAAACTGGATTTTTGGGTCGTAACTGTAGCAAGTGAGGGTGAACAGGGTCAAATTTGGTTTTAGTGGTAGGATTTGTTCCTCTCCGCGTTGAAAAAGATTCACATCGCATGCATCCGTAAAATCGCCGTCTATTCGCAATTGTTTCAAATTGGGGCAGCGATTTTTCAAAACTTGACAGACTGATGGTAGGCATCGTTCGTCGCAGATGGAAAGGTCCAAAATTTCTACCCGATTACTGAATTTGTCACAAACGTACATCAGCCTCCAGTCAAGGGAAGGTTCGATGGAAGCGTGACGAATTCGTTTCCCAAGTCGGTCATCTAATGCGAAAAATCGTCCGAAAAATTGGACGGTTTCGTCATCGTCACCATCTTCGTCGTCTTTATGGTCCAGATTTAAGGCAAGTCTTGTATTTGGAAGGGAGAGGACGATATCATTCAAAAAATGGCAAACCAGTCGGCAACTTTTCAACGGGCAGAGTGGTGTTTTAATATTTCAGTTAAAATCTGCAAATTTAGGAAATATTGATATCTTTACAACTTGTAAATTACAATATTTTTGAAGAGGTGATTAAAAATTTTAATTTAAAATTAATTGGCTTACGACAGGATTTTGTAGTGCCATGTCCTGCACGCTTCGCCCCCATGGAAGAGAGTCCATTTCACCCGAGTTGAATTGTTATCTAAGGAAATTCCCAAAATTTCGTCAACAAATTTTTATTTCAGAATTTAGAAGTAAATTATGCAACTTGTAATCTTTTAAGTGGATCTAAATTATTAAAATAACATTCTCCACAACGCCTTACCCTTCTTTGAAAGTGATCGATATTCACGCTGTTTATCCAATTAATTTTAATTTTAATGACTGAAAAGAAATGTGCACCTAAAATTACACTTTTCTCTGTGTTTTACCTGTCGTGAACACCTGTTGACTAATTACATTTCCCGGGAAGGTGCAAGTGGTCGTGCATAAAGTATGTCGTCAATTTTTGGCGTGATGTGACCGGATCTTTCCAATGTTCATTATAAAATTGTAGAAAATGAGCCATCATCCGATTTGGTGGGATGTATGATTCTGCTGAAATGCAGCAATTACTTTGTGCACGGTCCACATGTGCATTTCATAAATTACGAGCAGAGTCCAGATAAATATGTTCTTAAAAACCCCGAAATATTTATGTATAATGTTCAATCAAATCGCCAAAATATGTATATAAAACATATTTTTAATTCGCTTTAAATTGCCCCAAATTTAGCTTATTTGACTGCAGAAATGCAAAAACATGCTTTTACATTTTCAAATGACAAACTAAAAACATTTCAGCATGCTCTGGTATTATTTCCACGATGATCGGAATTTTTTATGAGTTGTGAATTTCTGAGGTTTCTCTAAAAGAATATATGTTTTTCGAAAAAATCGCTGAAATATGTAGAAACATATTTATGTGTATAAAGAAATGCACATTTCCGGCAAAATCGTCGAAATATGTTCAAACATATTTATATGTACCAAAACCTGGAAATATGTAAAATATGTGAAAACATTTTTTTGACCGTGTGACCTATGCCTGACCAGGAACAATATCCCAAAGTTTAAACCCGTTCGGGTAATTATTGAAAAAGTTTAAAATACATACATTACCGGACTCTGATTACGAGTCGTAATTTCGTCTTTGTTCATGAAAAATGTTTAGCGTACATTCACATAACCTGTAATTGATATAAATACAACCAACAAGCATATTTTCCTTACCAAGATTTAAATAAATTGTCCAGAATATAACATTCCGTTTTCCATTGCATGCGCGTACGGATTGAAAATGAAATGGTACAGATACCGATATTATAAATAGAATTAAGTAGTTCATTCCCTTATTTATTCACCCAAAATATTTAGCTCATAATTGGCATCAAAAACGTGAAATTGATTTACAGATTAGATTAAATTATTATAAAAATTCATCGTCATACATGTACATACCTCTTCACAAAATTTTATCGATACCGTTTCCCACATAGTTCCATCAAATATGCAATATTTCCCTATTTCACAAAATTTTAGATAATCGTTGAAGCCTCCAAAAAATTAGTAGTATTGAAGTATATTGAAGTTAAAACGGGTAAAAAATGCTGGATACACACATTTACATATTATTAATCCCTAGCACTAGGTATTTCCCCCTCAACCAAAATTTGGACGGCGACATCTTATTCGACGCGATGAAATCCAGTATAACATCCGTAGATTCAGTGCTTAACTGCAACCAAAATTAATAACAAACAAAATGTTAAGCTCAATAATTAATTAGTCTTTTTAAAAATTAACTTTTAGCATATTTATCTCACATCCAGCCCGGCAATCGTGACCCGTTCCATCTTATCTGTTAAATGTAAAATGATGTATTTATGAAATTGTTTTATGTATTTTTGTAAATTGTTGAATATGCGTGTAAGATTGCCCCGTGACGTGGTGGTGGTTGCCATGGTGACGTCAGAGTGGGATTTTGAGTGCGCGTCGTTCTTTGTTATAAGTCGTAGTAAGTAAGTAGGTAGAAGAATTCTACACAGTCGAGTTTTAGTCGTTGTCAAAGTCAGACATTTTGGATTTTAGTCGTCGTGGTAGGAAATCAAGAGTAAGAATTGTTAATTCTTTGTAATTGATGTCCACGATTAATTTGTTAATAGTAAGTCACCAATCAACTCGTGTTAGTGCAGAGCTCTGAATTGTGTTGACAATTTGATAATTTGTTGAAAATAAAATCCAGTTTAAGTAGATAAAATAATCGTATATTCACTCAAGTCACTTTCTTTAATTCCATCGAGCAAAGCACAATTAAATATACGTAAAGACACTATACTCCGGGTAGGTGATAGCTTGGTTTTTACATTAGTGGTGACCTCGACGTGATTGCTCGTTGGGTCAGTTTTAGTTGGAAGTGGACTAGTTATAGTGGTCAGTGAGTTGTGACCTTTTGAGTGAATTAGTGTACGTGCAAAGACTGTTCCGTGGAAATCCTGTGCAAGTGTTGCTGTCTGGACGAGGAGCAGATCGAATTGGTGTACGTGCAAAAAGTGTTCCGTGGAAATCCTGGGCGATTGTTGCTGTCTGGACGAGGAGCAGATTCGAAGGAGAGGATTCACATCAAGCCTTGCCTCATTGAGGACCCGACCCTGAGTATTCGGGGGCTGTTCAGGTGATACCTTTCAAGTTTTATTTTGTTGCTGTGAAGTAGTCCGTGAGGAAGGAGTGACCGACCAGATTGACATCGGCGTGTCCGACCGAGAGGAACTTCAACTTTATTCGTCTATTAATCAATTACTGTCTTGCCCCATCCTGAGCGTTCGGGAGCCATAGAGGTCGGCATTGTTGCTGATTGAGTTAATAAGCGTGTACTGTTCTAATTGTTTTGTTTGTTGGATTTGAGATAACAGCATGGATCGACTGAAGAAGGCGAGGGCTCCAGCTCGAGCTTCCATTACCAAGACGGTGGATGGTGTAGTTGCTGAGTTGGCGAAAGATCCAAAGGACTCGAGAGAACTTACCATCAAGTTAAGGAAGTTGGAATCCCTGCAGACGTCGATCAGAGAACATGATGAAAAGGTGCTTACCCAGATGTTTGATGACAATTGCACGGCGGAGTCTTATGGGGAGGAGAGTGCAGTGAATGAAGAATATTCAGATAGAATCAGAGTTTCTATCATGGATATTGAGAAGATTCTTAATGCAGAAATCCGTCCACCAAGTCCGAGTGCAAGTAGCAGCTATGTCACCGTGAATGGGGAGCGTATCAAGAAGAATAGAAACTTCAAACTGCCCAAGATCGAGCTACAGAAATTCGATGGGAGTTGGAAGAGCTGGTTGGGGTGGTGGGCTCAATACCGTCAGATTCACGAAGATGATGAATTGCAAGTAAACGTGAAGTTTCAGTATTTGATTCAAGCCATCGTCCCCGGATCAGAAGCAGAAAAAGTGATCAAGATTTATCCACGGTCGGATCAGAATTATCCTTTGGTGGTTGAGAAGCTGAAGTCCCGGTTTGGTGATGAGAAGATTTTACGCCAAATTTATATCTGAGAATTGTTGGGCCTGGCTATCAATAGCGCCGCGGATTCAAGAGAAGATGCCGACGTGGAAGAATTGCATGACCAGTTGGAAGGTCATTTGAAGAGTCTCGAGTCTTTGGGGAAAGTTAGTAATAAGTGAACTCATTTATCCATTAGTGGAATCCAGTCTGCCACAGCAAGTGTTACTCAGGTGGCAGAATAGTAATTTGAGGGTACGCGAGAAGAAATCAGACTTGTCTTCTGCTACCAATTTAGAAAACCTGATGGAGTTTTTGCGGCTGGAGGCACAGAATGCCAAAGAAAGGAAATTTGTGCTGTCAACCTTCAGGCAAAGTCCAGTCAAGAATAGAGAGAAAGTAAACGTGTATGCAGAGAGTGAATGTGAAGATTTCTCTACTGCTGCCGGTCTCTATTCAAGTCATCAAGCTGAGCAGCGATGTGTCTTTTGTGGAAAGTCGAATCACAAAAGTCAGATGTGCTATAAGGCTCAGACATTACCTCTCGAGGAGAAGAAGATCCTGGTGAAGGAGAATCGGGGATGCTTCATCTGCCTGGGAAGAGGACATTATGCAAATGACTGTACCAAGGAGGTCAGTTGCCAAATATGTGGACGGAAACACTACTCTGTGATGTGTCCTGGTCAGGTCCGAGATGAGGAAGTGACGTCAATTAATGAAGATGAATCAAGTAGCAGTTCGGTGGAAGAAACCACCACTAACTTCAGTCAGGGATGCCCAAGCAAAGTGGTACTGATGAAGACGCTCCGTGTTATGGTAAACGGAGCAAGTGGAGTCAAGAAAGAAGTCCGACTACTTTTCGACGAGGGAAGTCAGAGGTCATACATAAGGACGAAGACGGCCCAGGAGTTGAAATGTCAAGTAGTGGACAAGTTGACTCTTCAGAATAGCTTATTCGGTGGACATGTGACTAGCACCGAAGAAAAGAATTGTTACCGGGTCACTACCAGCGGTATCGATAGGAAGGATTGTGCGAGGATGAATCTCCAGTTAGTCAACGAGGACTTTATTTGTGGAGCATGCCCAGAAATCCCACCTGGCCCTTGGTGTAAAGAGTTGGCTCGGAAAAAGATCCACACGACAGACACTTCAGCGTCGGAAGTCGACATATTGATAGGAAGCGATCTGTGGGGAAGTTTGATGACCGGAAGAATGGTCAAACTTGGTTGTGGATTTATCGCCGTGGAATCCGTGTTTGGATGGACTATCAGCGGAGTGGTTCTAGGTGTCAACAATTGCAAGTTGAATTACGCTGGTGTCGTAATTAGTTCAAGTAGAAGGAAGAGCTTTGTAGAGAAAAGAACTCAAGAGGAGCAACAACGAGTCGAGAAGACTACTCAAGATAAACGTGTAAAGGTCGACGAGTTGAGACGGTGGGAGCGAAGTGTTGTGGGGGTTCCCAGAATCGGCTAGCCTGCCATGAGGGGGTGCGGATTGGGAAACGGCAACAGCCACACTCCAAAGACGTCAAGATTACTCTCGACAGCAAGGGTACCTGGTCTAGTCAGTGACAAGTACCGAAATAAAGTGTCGTGTGGGAAGATGGAAGCTTGTAACCCCATCGGATTCAATCGTCCAGCCATTATTAAGCCGAAGATGCTGGTGCAGAAAGTGGTGGAGAAGAATGCCGAATGGTGGGAGCGACCGAATACAAGGATTCCAAGAAGATGTCAAGAGAAGAAGCAAGTCCAGAAGGAGCCGGAAGTTGGTGGTAAAGATCAAGATAGGATCTCGAAGAAACCAGGGCGGTATCCGAAGTGGAATTTGTAATTTAATTGTATAGTATAATTTGAATTTGATATTGCATAATGTGTTTTAGAATAGTTCTTTTGCTCTCACAAAAGAAGGTGGGAGTATGTTAAATGTAAAATGATGTATTTATGAAATTGTTTTATGTATTTTTGTAAATTGTTGAATATGCGTGTAAGATTGCCCCGTGACGTGGTGGTGGTTGCCATGGTGACGTCAGAGTGGGATTTTGAGTGCGCGTCGTTCTTTGTTATAAGTCGTAGTAAGTAAGTAGGTAGAAGAATTCTACACAGTCGAGTTTTAGTCGTTGTCAAAGTCAGACATTTTGGATTTTAGTCGTCGTGGTAGGAAATCAAGAGTAAGAATTGTTAATTCTTTGTAATTGATGTCCACGATTAATTTGTTAATAGTAAGTCACCAATCAACTCGTGTTAGTGCAGAGCTCTGAATTGTGTTGACAATTTGATAATTTGTTGAAAATAAAATCCAGTTTAAGTAGATAAAATAATCGTATATTCACTCAAGTCACTTTCTTTAATTCCATCGAGCAAAGCACAATTAAATATACGTAAAGACACTATACTCCGGGTAGGTGATAGCTTGGTTTTTACATTAGTGGTGACCTCGACGTGATTGCTCGTTGGGTCAGTTTTAGTTGGAAGTGGACTAGTTATAGTGGTCAGTGAGTTGTGACCTTTTGAGTGAATTAGTGTACGTGCAAAGACTGTTCCGTGGAAATCCTGTGCAAGTGTTGCTGTCTGGACGAGGAGCAGATCGAATTGGTGTACGTGCAAAAAGTGTTCCGTGGAAATCCTGGGCGATTGTTGCTGTCTGGACGAGGAGCAGATTCGAAGGAGAGGATTCACATCAAGCCTTGCCTCATTGAGGACCCGACCCTGAGTATTCGGGGGCTGTTCAGGTGATACCTTTCAAGTTTTATTTTGTTGCTGTGAAGTAGTCCGTGAGGAAGGAGTGACCGACCAGATTGACATCGGCGTGTCCGACCGAGAGGAACTTCAACTTTATTCGTCTATTAATCAATTACTGTCTTGCCCCATCCTGAGCGTTCGGGAGCCATAGAGGTCGGCATTGTTGCTGATTGAGTTAATAAGCGTGTACTGTTCTAATTGTTTTGTTTGTTGGATTTGAGATAACAGCATGGATCGACTGAAGAAGGCGAGGGCTCCAGCTCGAGCTTCCATTACCAAGACGGTGGATGGTGTAGTTGCTGAGTTGGCGAAAGATCCAAAGGACTCGAGAGAACTTACCATCAAGTTAAGGAAGTTGGAATCCCTGCAGACGTCGATCAGAGAACATGATGAAAAGGTGCTTACCCAGATGTTTGATGACAATTGCACGGCGGAGTCTTATGGGGAGGAGAGTGCAGTGAATGAAGAATATTCAGATAGAATCAGAGTTTCTATCATGGATATTGAGAAGATTCTTAATGCAGAAATCCGTCCACCAAGTCCGAGTGCAAGTAGCAGCTATGTCACCGTGAATGGGGAGCGTATCAAGAAGAATAGAAACTTCAAACTGCCCAAGATCGAGCTACAGAAATTCGATGGGAGTTGGAAGAGCTGGTTGGGGTGGTGGGCTCAATACCGTCAGATTCACGAAGATGATGAATTGCAAGTAAACGTGAAGTTTCAGTATTTGATTCAAGCCATCGTCCCCGGATCAGAAGCAGAAAAAGTGATCAAGATTTATCCACGGTCGGATCAGAATTATCCTTTGGTGGTTGAGAAGCTGAAGTCCCGGTTTGGTGATGAGAAGATTTTACGCCAAATTTATATCTGAGAATTGTTGGGCCTGGCTATCAATAGCGCCGCGGATTCAAGAGAAGATGCCGACGTGGAAGAATTGCATGACCAGTTGGAAGGTCATTTGAAGAGTCTCGAGTCTTTGGGGAAAGTTAGTAATAAGTGAACTCATTTATCCATTAGTGGAATCCAGTCTGCCACAGCAAGTGTTACTCAGGTGGCAGAATAGTAATTTGAGGGTACGCGAGAAGAAATCAGACTTGTCTTCTGCTACCAATTTAGAAAACCTGATGGAGTTTTTGCGGCTGGAGGCACAGAATGCCAAAGAAAGGAAATTTGTGCTGTCAACCTTCAGGCAAAGTCCAGTCAAGAATAGAGAGAAAGTAAACGTGTATGCAGAGAGTGAATGTGAAGATTTCTCTACTGCTGCCGGTCTCTATTCAAGTCATCAAGCTGAGCAGCGATGTGTCTTTTGTGGAAAGTCGAATCACAAAAGTCAGATGTGCTATAAGGCTCAGACATTACCTCTCGAGGAGAAGAAGATCCTGGTGAAGGAGAATCGGGGATGCTTCATCTGCCTGGGAAGAGGACATTATGCAAATGACTGTACCAAGGAGGTCAGTTGCCAAATATGTGGACGGAAACACTACTCTGTGATGTGTCCTGGTCAGGTCCGAGATGAGGAAGTGACGTCAATTAATGAAGATGAATCAAGTAGCAGTTCGGTGGAAGAAACCACCACTAACTTCAGTCAGGGATGCCCAAGCAAAGTGGTACTGATGAAGACGCTCCGTGTTATGGTAAACGGAGCAAGTGGAGTCAAGAAAGAAGTCCGACTACTTTTCGACGAGGGAAGTCAGAGGTCATACATAAGGACGAAGACGGCCCAGGAGTTGAAATGTCAAGTAGTGGACAAGTTGACTCTTCAGAATAGCTTATTCGGTGGACATGTGACTAGCACCGAAGAAAAGAATTGTTACCGGGTCACTACCAGCGGTATCGATAGGAAGGATTGTGCGAGGATGAATCTCCAGTTAGTCAACGAGGACTTTATTTGTGGAGCATGCCCAGAAATCCCACCTGGCCCTTGGTGTAAAGAGTTGGCTCGGAAAAAGATCCACACGACAGACACTTCAGCGTCGGAAGTCGACATATTGATAGGAAGCGATCTGTGGGGAAGTTTGATGACCGGAAGAATGGTCAAACTTGGTTGTGGATTTATCGCCGTGGAATCCGTGTTTGGATGGACTATCAGCGGAGTGGTTCTAGGTGTCAACAATTGCAAGTTGAATTACGCTGGTGTCGTAATTAGTTCAAGTAGAAGGAAGAGCTTTGTAGAGAAAAGAACTCAAGAGGAGCAACAACGAGTCGAGAAGACTACTCAAGATAAACGTGTAAAGGTCGACGAGTTGAGACGGTGGGAGCGAAGTGTTGTGGGGGTTCCCAGAATCGGCTAGCCTGCCATGAGGGGGTGCGGATTGGGAAACGGCAACAGCCACACTCCAAAGACGTCAAGATTACTCTCGACAGCAAGGGTACCTGGTCTAGTCAGTGACAAGTACCGAAATAAAGTGTCGTGTGGGAAGATGGAAGCTTGTAACCCCATCGGATTCAATCGTCCAGCCATTATTAAGCCGAAGATGCTGGTGCAGAAAGTGGTGGAGAAGAATGCCGAATGGTGGGAGCGACCGAATACAAGGATTCCAAGAAGATGTCAAGAGAAGAAGCAAGTCCAGAAGGAGCCGGAAGTTGGTGGTAAAGATCAAGATAGGATCTCGAAGAAACCAGGGCGGTATCCGAAGTGGAATTTGTAATTTAATTGTATAGTATAATTTGAATTTGATATTGCATAATGTGTTTTAGAATAGTTCTTTTGCTCTCACAAAAGAAGGTGGGAGTATGTTAAATGTAAAATGATGTATTTATGAAATTGTTTTATGTATTTTTGTAAATTGTTGAATATGCGTGTAAGATTGCCCCGTGACGTGGTGGTGGTTGCCATGGTGACGTCAGAGTGGGATTTTGAGTGCGCGTCGTTCTTTGTTATAAGTCGTAGTAAGTAAGTAGGTAGAAGAATTCTACACAGTCGAGTTTTAGTCGTTGTCAAAGTCAGACATTTTGGATTTTAGTCGTCGTGGTAGGAAATCAAGAGTAAGAATTGTTAATTCTTTGTAATTGATGTCCACGATTAATTTGTTAATAGTAAGTCACCAATCAACTCGTGTTAGTGCAGAGCTCTGAATTGTGTTGACAATTTGATAATTTGTTGAAAATAAAATCCAGTTTAAGTAGATAAAATAATCGTATATTCACTCAAGTCACTTTCTTTAATTCCATCGAGCAAAGCACAATTAAATATACGTAAAGACACTATACTCCGGGTAGGTGATAGCTTGGTTTTTACATTAGTGGTGACCTCGACGTGATTGCTCGTTGGGTCAGTTTTAGTTGGAAGTGGACTAGTTATAGTGGTCAGTGAGTTGTGACCTTTTGAGTGAATTAGTGTACGTGCAAAGACTGTTCCGTGGAAATCCTGTGCAAGTGTTGCTGTCTGGACGAGGAGCAGATCGAATTGGTGTACGTGCAAAAAGTGTTCCGTGGAAATCCTGGGCGATTGTTGCTGTCTGGACGAGGAGCAGATTCGAAGGAGAGGATTCACATCAAGCCTTGCCTCATTGAGGACCCGACCCTGAGTATTCGGGGGCTGTTCAGGTGATACCTTTCAAGTTTTATTTTGTTGCTGTGAAGTAGTCCGTGAGGAAGGAGTGACCGACCAGATTGACATCGGCGTGTCCGACCGAGAGGAACTTCAACTTTATTCGTCTATTAATCAATTACTGTCTTGCCCCATCCTGAGCGTTCGGGAGCCATAGAGGTCGGCATTGTTGCTGATTGAGTTAATAAGCGTGTACTGTTCTAATTGTTTTGTTTGTTGGATTTGAGATAACAGCATGGATCGACTGAAGAAGGCGAGGGCTCCAGCTCGAGCTTCCATTACCAAGACGGTGGATGGTGTAGTTGCTGAGTTGGCGAAAGATCCAAAGGACTCGAGAGAACTTACCATCAAGTTAAGGAAGTTGGAATCCCTGCAGACGTCGATCAGAGAACATGATGAAAAGGTGCTTACCCAGATGTTTGATGACAATTGCACGGCGGAGTCTTATGGGGAGGAGAGTGCAGTGAATGAAGAATATTCAGATAGAATCAGAGTTTCTATCATGGATATTGAGAAGATTCTTAATGCAGAAATCCGTCCACCAAGTCCGAGTGCAAGTAGCAGCTATGTCACCGTGAATGGGGAGCGTATCAAGAAGAATAGAAACTTCAAACTGCCCAAGATCGAGCTACAGAAATTCGATGGGAGTTGGAAGAGCTGGTTGGGGTGGTGGGCTCAATACCGTCAGATTCACGAAGATGATGAATTGCAAGTAAACGTGAAGTTTCAGTATTTGATTCAAGCCATCGTCCCCGGATCAGAAGCAGAAAAAGTGATCAAGATTTATCCACGGTCGGATCAGAATTATCCTTTGGTGGTTGAGAAGCTGAAGTCCCGGTTTGGTGATGAGAAGATTTTACGCCAAATTTATATCTGAGAATTGTTGGGCCTGGCTATCAATAGCGCCGCGGATTCAAGAGAAGATGCCGACGTGGAAGAATTGCATGACCAGTTGGAAGGTCATTTGAAGAGTCTCGAGTCTTTGGGGAAAGTTAGTAATAAGTGAACTCATTTATCCATTAGTGGAATCCAGTCTGCCACAGCAAGTGTTACTCAGGTGGCAGAATAGTAATTTGAGGGTACGCGAGAAGAAATCAGACTTGTCTTCTGCTACCAATTTAGAAAACCTGATGGAGTTTTTGCGGCTGGAGGCACAGAATGCCAAAGAAAGGAAATTTGTGCTGTCAACCTTCAGGCAAAGTCCAGTCAAGAATAGAGAGAAAGTAAACGTGTATGCAGAGAGTGAATGTGAAGATTTCTCTACTGCTGCCGGTCTCTATTCAAGTCATCAAGCTGAGCAGCGATGTGTCTTTTGTGGAAAGTCGAATCACAAAAGTCAGATGTGCTATAAGGCTCAGACATTACCTCTCGAGGAGAAGAAGATCCTGGTGAAGGAGAATCGGGGATGCTTCATCTGCCTGGGAAGAGGACATTATGCAAATGACTGTACCAAGGAGGTCAGTTGCCAAATATGTGGACGGAAACACTACTCTGTGATGTGTCCTGGTCAGGTCCGAGATGAGGAAGTGACGTCAATTAATGAAGATGAATCAAGTAGCAGTTCGGTGGAAGAAACCACCACTAACTTCAGTCAGGGATGCCCAAGCAAAGTGGTACTGATGAAGACGCTCCGTGTTATGGTAAACGGAGCAAGTGGAGTCAAGAAAGAAGTCCGACTACTTTTCGACGAGGGAAGTCAGAGGTCATACATAAGGACGAAGACGGCCCAGGAGTTGAAATGTCAAGTAGTGGACAAGTTGACTCTTCAGAATAGCTTATTCGGTGGACATGTGACTAGCACCGAAGAAAAGAATTGTTACCGGGTCACTACCAGCGGTATCGATAGGAAGGATTGTGCGAGGATGAATCTCCAGTTAGTCAACGAGGACTTTATTTGTGGAGCATGCCCAGAAATCCCACCTGGCCCTTGGTGTAAAGAGTTGGCTCGGAAAAAGATCCACACGACAGACACTTCAGCGTCGGAAGTCGACATATTGATAGGAAGCGATCTGTGGGGAAGTTTGATGACCGGAAGAATGGTCAAACTTGGTTGTGGATTTATCGCCGTGGAATCCGTGTTTGGATGGACTATCAGCGGAGTGGTTCTAGGTGTCAACAATTGCAAGTTGAATTACGCTGGTGTCGTAATTAGTTCAAGTAGAAGGAAGAGCTTTGTAGAGAAAAGAACTCAAGAGGAGCAACAACGAGTCGAGAAGACTACTCAAGATAAACGTGTAAAGGTCGACGAGTTGAGACGGTGGGAGCGAAGTGTTGTGGGGGTTCCCAGAATCGGCTAGCCTGCCATGAGGGGGTGCGGATTGGGAAACGGCAACAGCCACACTCCAAAGACGTCAAGATTACTCTCGACAGCAAGGGTACCTGGTCTAGTCAGTGACAAGTACCGAAATAAAGTGTCGTGTGGGAAGATGGAAGCTTGTAACCCCATCGGATTCAATCGTCCAGCCATTATTAAGCCGAAGATGCTGGTGCAGAAAGTGGTGGAGAAGAATGCCGAATGGTGGGAGCGACCGAATACAAGGATTCCAAGAAGATGTCAAGAGAAGAAGCAAGTCCAGAAGGAGCCGGAAGTTGGTGGTAAAGATCAAGATAGGATCTCGAAGAAACCAGGGCGGTATCCGAAGTGGAATTTGTAATTTAATTGTATAGTATAATTTGAATTTGATATTGCATAATGTGTTTTAGAATAGTTCTTTTGCTCTCACAAAAGAAGGTGGGAGTATGTTAAATGTAAAATGATGTATTTATGAAATTGTTTTATGTATTTTTGTAAATTGTTGAATATGCGTGTAAGATTGCCCCGTGACGTGGTGGTGGTTGCCATGGTGACGTCAGAGTGGGATTTTGAGTGCGCGTCGTTCTTTGTTATAAGTCGTAGTAAGTAAGTAGGTAGAAGAATTCTACACAGTCGAGTTTTAGTCGTTGTCAAAGTCAGACATTTTGGATTTTAGTCGTCGTGGTAGGAAATCAAGAGTAAGAATTGTTAATTCTTTGTAATTGATGTCCACGATTAATTTGTTAATAGTAAGTCACCAATCAACTCGTGTTAGTGCAGAGCTCTGAATTGTGTTGACAATTTGATAATTTGTTGAAAATAAAATCCAGTTTAAGTAGATAAAATAATCGTATATTCACTCAAGTCACTTTCTTTAATTCCATCGAGCAAAGCACAATTAAATATACGTAAAGACACTATCAAAAGTTTATCAAAGATGTGGTCGTATTTAAGCAAAGGAATTTTGCGTTGTACATGTTTTTAATAGTCACTTGAAGGAAATGACTTTATATATTTTGTTAAATCAGTACTGATACACACAATTTCAACGAAACAAAAACCAAATTCTCGTATTGACTTGAATTTCACATACTATCTTGAAAATAAGGATTCTAAAACACAGCAAATTTGTACAATTGCCGGCCCATTCGTCGTTACTCAATTTTTGCGTGTTCCACTATATACCTGATTGGGGACAAATTTGAGCAATATGCTTGTGTAAATGGGGCAATATGTATCATCCATGACAATATATTTAGTTTACAATTTTCGGGATTCGGCATGCCATCACGTGGCCGGTCACGTGGTGAAAATTGAGTAATGAAGAATTGTCCTTCTATTGTACAAATTAACTGCGTTTTAATGCCTCAATCTTTAAAACATGAAATTAGGCTTAGGTACCACGTGCGCTAGGTTGTGGTTGCGCTGAAATCGTGCATATTGCATATCAGGACTGATTAAACTGAATATTTATGTATTAGGTCATTTCCTTCTGCTCGTTGTATAAACTAGGATAACTGTTAGTTACTTGATAGGACGGCGTACATTCCAGCTACATGCATTTAGCTTATCAAATCCAGCTAAAAGAAAGAAGTAGACGTAACGAAAATAATTTCTGAAATTCCCATCTTCGGCAAATTAAATTTGTTAGGAAAAAAATGCCAAAATGTTTGTATCTAACACAAGCATGCATACACTCTACCTGCTGCTTTTTGATTTACAGATGCGATCATGGTATCGTTATGCGTCTTATTGTTTGTTTTGGTAGCATTTTTCCACCATCATACTTTGGGGATCTCGGCTGTTCAGCTAAACCGGAAAATAAAAACCCTTTCCTACTAAATAAGTAGTGCACTCAAAATAAAAATTTGTCGAATCGACACCGCCGGTGTCAATATATGACTTAACCGCCTTGGTTACAATGTTGAATCCGAGTTATGATGATTTTGATACCGGTAGTATAATGTTATGACCGGACGGAAAAAATTCATTACTACTCGGAATCACAATTATAACCAAGGCGGTTAAGTCATATATTGACACCGTTTTGTTTTGAGTGTAGATAAGCTGAGCAACTATTCCAGAGTCAAGTAAATTAATCGGAACTTATCAGTACTAGACATGTTAGAGCTGGGTTTCGTTGAAATTGTAAATATCCGTACTGATTAAACAGAAATGTATAAGGTCATTTCCTTCCATTGGTTATCAAAAATGAGTACAAAATTAATTTATCAAAATTCAACTTGCTTAAATATAACCCGATGTTTGAGGAAAATTTAGCACTTAAACATATATAGTCAAAAATTATTCCTAACTGAGAAAATTTCGAATATTCCCATCTACATAAATATACGTAGCAAGTTAAATTTCTTTGAAAAAACTTATAAAAAATATTAGCACCACCAAAACCTGTATCTATTTATAGCTTATCGATCAATAAGTGTAATCATGATATCGTTACGCGTCCTATTTTTTGTGGTAGCCATAATCCACCTTCATATTCTGGGAATCTCGGCTTCTTCAGTTAAGCCGGAAAATAATCACCCCGTCCAACCAGAAGATAAGCTGAGAAATTTTGTCAAGGACGAGTCAGTTAATCAGGACCAAAGTCAACGTGCAGAATTAAAACACGTTCCTGCTAATGTCTCCTCCCTAGCGATTGAGGAACGCGTAGACCAACTCGCACTTGCAGTGATCGAGCTCAAACGTATATTTTTATACTTGCTAATTTTTCTGGTAGTCTCAAATTAAATCAAGGATTATATAGAATTAGCGGAAACTGCAGCAAATAGGAAGAAGGAAGCGGTAAGAATGAATCCAAAAAATTTCACAAACTTTCCACAATTTCGGTGTTAATATAAATATAATGAGTAGATTATGTGCCCGATCTGTCCCACGGGAGCGAAGGGACACCCGGGTGAGTGCTACACGTCAACTAAAAAATTCTCCTCGATCTGATCTATGTATATGTAAATCATGTAGGAATTCCTGGCGAAAATGGAGTTCCTGGAATACCAGGTAAATCTGAATAATAACACCGTCATAAAAAAATTTCTACCCGAATTTTGCATATTAGGGTCTCCAGGTCGTCTGAGCACACTAGGGGAAAGGGGTGAAACAGGGCTCCCAGGTAATCACATGATTTTCTAGTACGGGCTATGTATTATGTAAGTTATTAAGTGAAATTGACCTTCCAGGATTTCATGGAATGACCGGAATGAAGGGAGAAAGAGGTTCCCAAGGGAAGAAAGGAGAGCAGGGAGACCCTATCGAAGGACTCATGTCACCATCGGCAATGTCCAGCTGTCCGGAGGGATTTCACTTCTCGAGACGTTGGGCTGTTTGCGCCCCTTCAGTAAAACTACGTGGAAGTGTGGTTGGCTAATTTAAACTTGTTGGTCATTTTAACAAAATTAACATACACGGTAGCAAATTTATGTAATAAATTAGCAAAAGTTACAAAATTTTCTCTACCAAAACAGGCCAATGTGCAAGTGAGCCCACAAATTCGTGTACTTTGCGAAATTATTGCGAACTCGTTTTCGTGCATACTAAAATTACGGACAGATTTTGTCAAGTGTTCAGGAGGGTGAAATAAGAAATTTATTCACAAAAAGGGAAGAACTAAATTGGATATAAGGCTTTTTTTAATTTTGTGAAATATTGTAGGCATCATTAAGAATTATTGGTATTTAATGCTACGTACATATACATAAATATATTACCCAGATATATGTAAATACTCAGGGCCCGTGAGAGGGGCCGGCAAGCCGGGCACTTGCCCGGGGCGCCGAGGCGCCGAGGGGCGCTGGAGGGCGCCAAAGATTAAATGATATGTTAAGTAATTTATTGGCATAATTGTAGCGAATAAATTACAATGAAACTGATTAAAGTTAAGTTTATCTTTTGAATATTCAACAGCGATGAGTGGTATTTTTCAATTGTCTTTGAGGAGGGTCTGCCACTTCTGGTTTTTATGGGCTCAACTTTTTGTGGTTGTTGTAATCTAATCCCTGAAAACCTCACTATTAATCAATACTAGTCAAGTTATCTGACTCAGCGTGGAATTTCGAGGATTTTCACAGGTGAATTTAATTTCTAATAGCACCGGCATGTACATAAATCCAATCTTGAATAAATTGGATGTTTGAATAAATTACATTTGTTCAAGAACCCTCAAAAATCCCCGGAAAAGCCCTTATATGTATGTATGTGTTTTCTAGAAAATCACCGTTTCTTCGAACGCCACCTTTGGCTTTAAAAGTAATATTTGCTACACAAAAACGAACCCATTTGTACAAAATCACGGGTACCAAAATTAAAATTATTTTTCTCATTTACAATGACTATTTAGCATGTAAAATTCAGGTTAACATGAGGCTAATTGCACAGATATTTTGTCGAGGCGCGAATTTTAAACCTTTTTCCAGTCATAACCTCTGGTTTTCAAAAATCTTCAACTTTTCGAAGTTGACAGCGACTTACAAAATTGAAAAACATGTTTTTTCAGAAGAAATATTATTGTTGATTTATTCAAATTCAATTTTGGAGTCATTTTAACTTGAAGATTTTTTGTTACTTTCTTAAATTCCTGATAGCAAGTTCTGGCCAAATTTAAATTGCATTTAATATTGAGGATGAATTTTTATAACCCAAGTAAGTCCTGCTAATGAATATGTATTCGAATTTTTCGAATTTTAACGTTTTGTTTAGAATTTAAGAAATCAAAGGTTTTGGCTGTAAAAAAAATAAAATACAAGTATCGGGCTCGAATTATAGCATTCTGGAAAAAATTATGGGTGCCTTTATTTTTTTTGGCAAAAAAAAATAAAATTGGTTTCAAGTAAATCAGAACAGCTCCACGCCGTTGCAAAATCGGCGGCGGCGGCTGCGGGCCGTTTGGAGGCTCGGCGGCGGCGTGCCGATATTTTGCCTCTAATTTTCAGTCAGTGATCATATCTGACCTCTTTATTCAGCTTTCTCTCAGTTTCTCTCAGACAGTCATATATTTCGCGTACTAATTTTGGTTCAAGGAAAACATTTTTTGAATTGGTATTAGATAATTCGAGTTTTCTAGAATTTTAAAAATATTTCTCGACTAAACCCATCGGCCTTAATAGCCTTGTATGTAACTCGATTCTTCACGGAACTTGAAAAAATTAAAAGTTTGCTTAATTTTTCATAAAATAAAATTTTTGAAATTTATCTAATTGATAGTTTTAAGAAACCGCAGGCACAATGTAAGGTTCTAAAAAAACAGCAACAGTAATTTCGATAAGTCAAGTATTTTAGTATGTACTCAATTTGTATCTACCCAAAATATATTTTAAATATGTACATTATCGATTCTTTAAATGGCGTCAAAATTTGAACTGTTCGAAATTATCTCTGATTAAGAATGCGTAAAATATTTAGGGACAAAATATTCTCTCAATGTCAATCACAAATGAAACCGTTAAAACCAAAATCTGGACATTTTTGCTCGTTTTAACTTGTTTTAGATGTATGATACATAGATCTTTTTTCTCGGCAGCGCGCTGGCTGTTTTGCGGCGTCGGCGCGTCAAATCCGGACGCCGACGTAAAATCGGCGGCGTGGAGCACAGAATTTTAAATGCGAAAGACCCATATTTGGAGCCTATTAATTTCTTTCTAGATTTTATCATTAAAATATCGAATAACTAATTTCTAAACAAGTCGAGGATATTATTATGGCCTTTTTTTACACCTCGAAAAAATCATTTATGTAGAAATAGAAATAAGAAGGCGAAATTAGGGGCGCTCAAATATGTTTTGCCCGGGTAAATTTTTGTGGTCGCACGGGCACTGTAAATACTTAATAAAACATATCTTTTAAACCGTCGGAAGCAGTGGCTTTTAAACATTCTGCTAGTATTTCTTGCAGCTAGTGTGCAGAATCACATTTTTCTAGGGAACCGATTGCAAGAACTAATCAAACCCAGGTCACGGCTTTAAATAGTTTGAAAACAGGATACGACTTATGCATATACATAATAATATGTTTTACGGCCTGGATATGTATTCTCAATTAATTTCGTTTACGTAAGTTAGAAGAATTAAACTAAAACTATTCATAACATTGAATTATATCACCTATTTAAATTTATCCTTTTAAATAGAGAAATATTTTAATATTTACTTCTCGACCTACTGTAATTATTTTAAAATTTGGACCAAATATTCGAGCCACTTGTTACGGCCGAGTTATTCTTCCATATCTATCAATTTCTAATATTTGTGAAGTTTAATTCACCCATCCCGTACTGGTATCCTTACCATACTATTAGTATGGAAGGGATACGAAAGCGGGAATAAAATTTTGGGTAAAGTTAAACTACGATGATATTATTAGAAGTGATTACTAACGTAACAAGCTTGTCACAGAATCACTCTCGCTCCCATATGATTGATCTATAAAATACAATTTCACATCGTGAATACTCTGCGTTCTTTCTTCCAACTTTCGATTTGTAAGGCCAATAATTGTATCCTTTAAATTAGGAATTTTGTCGTTTCCTTTAACAACACTGAAGTCCTGATCGATAGATAATTGCTCGACTCTGTACCTCAGAGCATCAAAGTTCATTGGCACGATCTCAAAAATTTCCCATAGGACGATACCCAAAGAAAACAAATCCGCTTTCTGACCATATTTTCCCGAATATACTTCCGGAGCTCGGTAAATTTCAGTTCCTCTCGGCTTAGTTTGGGTGACGCTGGCATTACCCGACATCTGACGGGTGAGCCCAAAATCCCCGATTTTTACTGGAAGCACAAATCCATCACGAGCAAAGTAAATGTTTTCTGGTTTAAGGTCCCGGTGTATCATGTCCTTTTGATGAATGTGTTTTAATCCAGCAATAATTCCTTGTGCTATGTTCATCTGCTCCTCAAGAAAGGCAGGATTCGAACTCGGGTCCTTATATTTTTTCCAGGTTTCCTCCAAACTAAGCCATTCTCGTAGTGTGGGGCCACATAGCTCCATTTCTAGGACGAAGGTGTTTTTCGTGTTGGACAGATTATTGCACGAATTATATAATCCGACCAACTTTGCGTCTTTTAAATTTGTTATGTTTACCGCGTCACCATAAGTTTGAAAAACACCTGTAAATTAAAAATTGATCATCCATGATTCATATAAATTGTGTTCACAAAATATTTCTTTATTAAATCTCCACTCGATTTAAAAATTGGAAAATTCTTGAATCAAGACTTCAAGACTTTAAGACTTTAAATTGAATAATTTACTATAGGTAATTTTTTATGCAGTTTATCTCAAATTAGCTTCCTTGTGTCGATGGATTCTTCATTGTACCCCATGTATTTATTATGCATAGCATAAGGTGAAATGAATAATGAATAAATTTATTCATTCATTCTAAATGAATATTAGTGAAATAAATTTTTTCAGAATTCATTCATTCAAAAATTTCGAACAAATTATTCACTCATTGTTCACGTATTCATTGAATAATGAATGACTACATTCCTCCTTGTCTATTGAATGTAAGAATGTAAACAGGTATGGCTGGGAATATAAATATTTCTGAAAGGTTTTGTGGCGCACGTACATACCTTAAGTGATATTTGATTTAAGTCACACAGAAAAAAAAACACAGCGCTGTGCTTCATTCATATATAGTTCGCAATAAATCTGTTCATGGTCCACAGATGTGGACCATTTTTTTGTCCAGTGGACCATGGTCCATTGCGAGCTATGGACTCATTTAACAGGATAAATCCTGTCTATTTATCTAGTCCATCTAAATCTTACCTGAGATTGAGGCGTCATCTAGTGGCAAGAGGACATCATAACTTACTAGCCGGACCACGTTTTCGTGCCTGGTTAGCTCCGTCATGACCTTGAGTTCGGTATTTGTCGCTTCAATATCGTCAGACCCCATAGCAGTGTCGACATGGTGAAATTCGTCCAGCACGATTTTAACCGCTGTTTCTTCTGAAGTTCCGGTTTTGCGGATTTTGAACACAAATCCGAAAGAACCCGCCCCGAGGAAGGAGAGTACTTGGTATGATTTCCATTTACGGAGACGTTCCAGGTGCTCAGTTTTTTTAGACTGGGCGCCCGAGTTTGCTGTAAAGAAAGTGGAACTTTATGTAATCAGAGTAGGGATAAAATAGAAAAATATGGCGAATTACATGACAAGTAGATCGGCGGCCTTTGTGATGGCAACGCAACAGGTAGGATGAAATTATCTAGCTGGTCAGGCGGTGGTGCCATTCGAGAACCAAATTCATGCTTTAACTCGTCTAAAAATAACGTTGCATAGTACACTTGGAATTATTATGCATGTTTAATTATCTTTCTGCCACCTGCACAAGCCAGGAACATGTTTTCCTCGAGAATTTCCGTTAATTTTAGAAATGTGGCATTGTTCCCGTTCCTACTGATCCATTTTTTTAAAATGTGACTTAGCAAGGTATAGCCGGTATCCATTCCCATCGTGAAGCGATTTCTCAATGAGTTTTGGTCAGGAAAAGGTATTTCTAGGAAACCCATGACCCTAACAATATCCTCAAAAATTATCGGATCCTTCTCCAAGATTTTTACCACTGGTCGCACATCACCAAAGCTGATTACTGGATCCATCTCAAATTAAGAAAGATCTCACACTATTTTTTTCTACTTTACTGCCTACTGCAGATTGGGTGTGATCTGTACTGCGAATGGGATGATTAATCCGAATTGCTTCGCATCGCAGCACGCAATCAATGGTTCGTTATCAGGGAATGATTACATGCATGATCAAATGGTGAAATTTGGAACCTTATCGTGGGATAGGGCTCAGAATGGATTTTTTTCCACAGAGATATGTAAATATGCGAATGTAAATATATTTCATAAGCACATACGCATTTAGTTTAAATAAAACTCTTATCTTTTGATTTGAACTGGTTGTCATGATAATGTTCCATTCGAGCTCGTCTCCGGTCACTTTGCATAATCCCTTTTCAATAAGGGTTATTGCAGAATTTTTATTCTATAAAAGTCACATGGCATAAACGACCAGTTTCCATAATACGTTTACTCATAATTGCAAAAAATTAATGAGAACTAAAATCGCATAGACAATATATACGTAATTGGTTGCAAATATTGCAGCGTATCACGCACTGTCATCATTCTTACGATGATAAATTAATCGAAGATGTAAAAAAATATGTGGTCTACCTAATATACAGAATTTTAAAATAAATTCCGGGATCCGAGAAATGGTTAAAAATGTCTCAATTTTGGTGATAAATAAGTCATGCGGTAAAAATGATGTTATTTTTTTGAAAAGTAAATGCACTCTGAATTCAAGATTAGGTAAGTAAACGTTACGTCAGCGAGAAAGCTGTTTAAAGAAAAGTGAAGTGAAATGAAATGAATTTGAACAAAAATGAGTCACTATGAATGAAAATCTTCACTCATAAATTGGGAGGACTAACTTTATATTGAGTATTGAATGAAAACTAATTTTTTGAGCAGGTACCACTCCAACGTCGAGCTGCAGGCGCACGTGCGACAAGTCCACACAGGCGAGCGGCCCTTCACCTGCGACCAGGCGGGGTGTGGAAGCGCCTAGGTCGCTCACCCTGCATTCGAGGAACACGCATAAAATAGGCGAGCGGAAGAGCGGGTTCAAACTGCCGAGTCGGAAAAGATCGGATGTGGTGGTCTTAGTAGGTGGAGATGAATAAAGTGGAGGAATTTTTTGTCAGAAATTTATTAAGTTAACCGGGAACATATTTTTTTACGTGTATTTAATTTAATTTAAATTTAAAAGATGATCTACATATGTCCATTGCTCAGATTGATGAAATAAATTATTTTTAATCAAGAAATACAAATGTGCAGTGCAACATGACCTTGGCGTTTCGACGTGAAGCTCAATTTAGCTGTATTGAAAATCGATGAGTCGGATATCCGTCTTTTGATAACCTGATCGGATATTTTTTGACACTGAATCTGTAATTGTTCAACTTTTTTTACTTTATATGAATCTACCACCAGCACTCTCTTTAACCAATAATCTAATTATGCTCATCAAAAACGATAATTTTTTTAAAACTTGTTACAATTTTATTTACATAAATGAAAAACCTCATGTCATACATATGTATGTTTGTCCCCTTCAGCCGTCGTTACGCGCAGTTTTCGTCTGGTGATCAGAAATGGAGCTCGGGTTTCCACCCGGGTTATTCTTTTTGGGAGAGGTCACCTCTCAAATTTTGTCGTCGTTTGAGCCATTACAAAAAATGTGAAATTGAAAATCACAATGCCGTCTTTGTTAAATTACAGTGACGTCGAAGCTATTGTCTCGAGGGCGATATGATTTCGTAAAGTTAGGGGTCGTTCACAAATTATGTGATGCAAAAAATCACGATTTTGTTGCCTCCCCCGAAACACGTGTCACATATCACATTTGAGCTTTAGATCTCCTCTCATCCCTGCCGCGTTACATAATTTATGAACGGCCCTCAAATGTACATATGCATTAATAATGGCCAATTATTTGCTACCAGTGTTCGACAAAAAACAAAAGCGTTATTGCGTCTTACATTTTTTGGCATATTTTATTGTTTTTACATTTTGCAAATTTTTTTTAGCTTCGTACGTATATTTAAATGATTTTTATCTATCCGGTTCATCATTAAAGGACGGGGGTCCTTCGTGTTGTCTTCGCCAAAGTCGTTCGGTCCTCCGGGGCGAATGTGATTATTTAAATGGCGAGAATATAAAGCACAAGTCGGATTTTGGGATAAGAATCATCTCTTTCGTAAGCATTGGCTGACAGGACCCGGAGTCTCTCAGAAACCCGGTTTTATCCTAGTGTTCACTTTCTCTCGGGGAGAAAGTGCCCATAAGTCTGCATACACATTTATGTATATTAGTCAACATCCGTCCACTGTTTCGTTTCCTCTACTACAAAGCAATCACTGCAAGGAACTCGGGACATCCAGTCCATACCTGGTCAAAAATATAGTTTTCATTCTAAAGTCAGTCTGACTTTAGACTTTCATTCATATTCAGTCATTTTATTTGAAATTTATTTCATTTCTTACTCGACTTCACTTCTTAATAAATTGATTATTTAATTAGTTATTAAGCCTTTTTGACAAATAATTTTTGTCCAAAAGCACTGAATAAGTAGATTTTTATTCTATTTGACTCAAGCAATAAATACTCTGCATGGTCAAGACATCTTTTGATCGATACAAACGGATAATTTCCTAAGGGATCGTGCTATTTAAGGGCTGTAATGTGGGCAAAAAATCGCTCCAATTTATCAAACCATTTGTAAATATAACCTATTTTTTGCATACATAAATTAGAAAAATACCAAGATTATAATTAAATAGACGATATTACATATAATTTAAAGCTTATAAAAAAAATTGTAACCATTTATATTTATCTTTACCAAATGTTTACATATTTAACATCAAGTAGTGGCAAATCTGTGCCCTGTCTTACAATTCTAATTCACCATTCTCTTACTTTGTCATCCATTTATTGGAGGTGATGAGTTTATCACACGTGTCATCATCTTACACCTGTCATCGTACAACGCGTGGTTGACAACACTTCCAAATCGTAAAATGATACATACATATATGAGATGCGAAGTTTCACTGAATTCGCCAGCCACGGGTACGGATTCACGTTTTGGTTTGATTGTTTTGTGATTACACAGATCTACATCCTTTACCCAGGAGAAATCCTGCCAAGATCTGCGATCTGTGCTTGACTTCTAACTCGGGGCTCTAAGCACGCTACGCTCTTATAAGACGCGCAGGTATGTAAGTATTTATTGGTACAAAGTGGGGAACAATATTGTTACCATTTGTCGAATTGGGGACAATTCAAAGCTGATATAAATTCCGTGAAGATTTTCACTTTCTCCAGATCACTTGGTGACCTATTTATTTCGTAATTTCTCCCTTCAAATTTCAATTTTTGAATGAATTTAGTTCAAATAGAAAATATTTGTGTCAAATCTATTAATAAATAATAAATAATTTATTTATTGCATCATAGCCAACAGCCTTTGCACATTCATGAATGGTTACATATTATTGATAATCATAAAATAGATAAAATAAAGTATTGGTCATAACATAGGTCAAAATATTTGGCGACTTTGTGCCAAAAAAGAAATACATTATTCAGTACTTTATCATTACAAATCTATATGTCAAATCTATTAAGGCCCACTGACCGTGGGGGGGACATGGTCGCACGACAAATTTTCCGTCTTTATCCCCTCACGCGTCCGCGGCCACTGCAAATAATTACTTCCAGCCGAACTGATTTAAATATGTACAAATATCCATAATAAGGGGCTGTTTATTTATTATTTAATGTAAAAAATTTACACCGCACTTCCCCCCCCCCTTCTGACTCCCCCATTTAAGGACATGACTAACAAAAACATCCGTTTTGCAACAACGCACTTTTTAGCCTTGATCAAACCCTGTTTTTACGTAACGAAAAGTGCCATAATCAAGGTTTACTTATATAATCGATTATAAAAAAACAATGCAAAATTAATTTCATCCTTTCTGCCATTCTCAAATTATGAAACGACTTTGAAACCAATTATTACTTTCGGATAAAAACTCAACCATTGAAACTTTTCCATATTACTTCAGCGAATACAGATCACTATAGGATACCATGATCGTTGAGTCAACTCTGGTCTCGCAAAATCTTCATACCACGTAATAATCTCCAAAGTTCTCAGCCCTGAAATTTTAATTGACATTTAAACAAACAAAGGAAATTGAAATTTTACTCAGTATGCAAATGATCTTATGTTTTCAATTTTTTCTCCACGAGAAGATGGTACTTACGTTGAAACAATTCCCACCCTTGAAAAAGCGCGTGGAGAAACGCCACCATTTCTACTGGATACCCCCTCAGGGTCACCTTCAAATGTTTTAATCCCCCCCAACACCGACACGCCTCCAGCACGACGCCCACCTCCAATCTATTCACTTCCAGCTCAAACCTCGTCTCATACAAGCGAACCATCTCCAACGTCTCCACGTTCGGAAACGCGGTCGCCACTTCGTCCAAAAGTCTGGGATCGTACAGCTCGATAAGCTTCAACTTCCTCACACTTGGAAAAATCTTTTTCGCATAGTAAATCCGTCGCAAAATTGTGTCCACACAATATTCCTCCCGTTCTCTCCCAATCACCAAAGTTTCCAGAAACGGCATCATTTCAATATTTTGCAAAAAGTCGGCACACCGAAACATTTCGACGAAACGGTTCGAAAACTTTCGTAATTTCGGCATCCTTTTTGTCAAGACGAATCTGATTGGAGGTGGCAATTCGGAATCGTTGTCTTGATATGGTAGTTGAAGAAGCGGTTTCGGCTCGTTATAACCGTCAATTACACAAAGAGTGCCTAAAGACAGGCTGACCAGCTGGTCATTGACTTGACCCAACATTTCCGAGATTTGGAAATGTTCCCGATGTCCGCGATTTGAATTGGGTCGACATGATTCAGCGATATGTTTAAGGAGTCGAGACACTTGGAATTTGCAAAATCTGGGTAGAATCCCCACGGAATGGTGACCTCTTTTAAATTTGACGAGGCGTTGACGACCAGCTGGATGAAATTGGCGAGAACCTTGTGAAACTGGATTTCCGGGCTGAAATCCCAGCAATTCAGGGAGAACAAGGTCAAATTCGGTTTTACGGGGAGAATTTGTTCGTCTCCGGATAGAAAAAGGTTGACATTGTTTGGCTCGTCAAATAAACCTTCAATTCGCAATTGTTTCAAATTGGGGCAGCAATTTTTCAAAACTTGATACACGGATTTTAGGCAGTTTTCTTCGTAAATGGAAACTTCTAAAATTTCGACACGATCACTGAATTTGTCGCAAACGTGGAGCAGTTTGCAGTCCGAGAGGTCATCGATTATCGCATTAATCCGTTTTGTGAGTCGGTCATCTAAGGTAAAACATAGCGAGAAGAATTGGAAGGAATGGTTCCGAGATGCGCTGTTATCGTCCAGCTTTAAAGCAAGTCTTGTATTTGGAAGGGACAGGACAGTTTCGTTCCAAAGGTGAGAAACCAGGCGACAATTTTTTAACGGAGTGGATGCACATTTGAATATTTCCGTTAAAATCTGCAAGTTGGCAAAATAGTTAAAAAAAATCTTTAAACTCTTTTTTGATTGGTTTAAAATAATTTAGACTAACGATGGGATTATTTAATGCGATCTCTTCCACGGTCCTTTCCTCTCGATAAGGTTCCATTCAGGCCCCGAAATTGGGGGGGGGCAACCGGGGCAATTGCCCAGGGCGCCAAATTCTGAGGGCGCCGACAGGCGCCCTCGGAATTTTCGTAGGTTTCTTGTACTTCACAAATGCACCAGAAGAATATTAAGATGCTATTTACGAACAGTGCAGTTGTTACATAACAATATGTAAACAAACTATTGAGATGCTCAAGTATGGCAAAAATCGAATCGCGCTTGTATGTAGCTGAGCCTCAAGACCCAATGTCGCGCGCCACTTATTTACTTCTAACTGATCCCATTTCGTTGGCCTGTTTTATGACAATTTTTTAAGGAAAGCTGTAAATATTTAAGCTGAGTGGATGGACAGGGCACAGAAAGCCGATCTGGGACAAGACATTTTTAATTTATTATTATTATTTAATTTTAATTTTATTTTTTTTGGAAGATTATTATGGTATAAGAATAAATCCGTATCCTAGACTTGAAAAAAATTTCCTCTGACAACTTTCGTAGGCCAAAAACTGAAAATTTCGAAACGTCAATTTGTGTTTACTGTTTAATGAAGTTTATTAAGATGTCGCAAGTCATCAGAAAAAAATCTGCATTTCAGATAGACACGTACAATAAAGAATTTTAACTAATCTACACTAATTTGAAACCTTAAAGGGCCATTATCTCCAATCCGTCCACAGATCTCTGAAGACAATCAATTTTAAGTACACGAAACTGAACAAATATAAGATATCACCACAGGTAATGTAACATGTTTTTGGGGGTTTTCTGATCCTTGACAAATTTGTTAAAAAGTCGTTAATTCCAAAACTTATTTAGTATCCGAAATTAAATTAAGGATTCTAAACTCTTCGAAAGTTTGCGCGATTAAGCAATTGAAAACATGTTACCGCAGAATATTAATATAAACATGTATGTATTTTATCAGTAATTTGACTTTGAAAACTTGTCGGTTTTAAATCATTGATGTTAATGAAATTGCCCCAATTTTAGAAATTATAGAACCAAATCAATTAGCTCGGAAACATGCATTTTTCAACTCAAAAACGGTTCTGGACACATAACTATGGAATATTTGTCAAAATTCGACAAGTGACACTAGACTAAAACAAGACACATGGATTTATTTTTGTACATATTCTAATTTTTAGATCTACATAAGCATGCAATTTTCTATGCAACCAGGAGTTTTACGGCTGCTATTTATCTAGTTAATTCGTTATAGTTTGACTTGACCGAAAGAAGCAATGACTGGTAGATATCTAGAAAGGCACCCTCATTTTTATAATGATAGCAATATAAGAATCGTTTCAAAAAATTAACTCTGAATTAGCGTGGAAAACTTAAATCGCATTAAAAAAGTGTTGGCGAAAAATGCATTCAAAGTAGATACCGCGTGAAAAATTCCACCATAGGGGCGCCGTCGCGATCTTGCCCCGGGCGCAAATTTCGAAGATCGGGCGCTGGTTCCATTCCAGCGTTGGCTCGAGCAGAAATTCTTTAAAATTTTGAATGTTTTTCAAATTATTTTTTCTTACTCATTTTTGAAATATTTTAAATTCTTGGAATGACAAAGTGCAAAGGGTCAGTAGACTTACTCTTTCCTTAGACATTGACCAATCTTCACAATCGATTTAATTTTAATAACTGAAATGAAAAGTGAAAAGCAATCCGCAAAATATTTGCCGTTTTCTCTCGTCTCCGAACTGCTGACTGACTGCATCCCATACCCGGCAGCCGAGTTTGCAAATTTATCATGCATAAAGTATGTCATCAATATTTGACTAGATGTGACCGGATCATTTCAATGCTCATTATAAGATGGGAACAAATCAGCTATCCAATTTTCAAGGGTGTAACTCTCAGAGAATTAATCTCCACAAATCAACCACATGTTTTATGCACGGTCTCCAGCGTCTCAATCCACGTCTTTGTTCATGAAAAAAAGTGCAATGTAGTGTATATATTTTTATTTATAATCTGTGATTGATGCATATTTTTCCTTTACAAGTAGATGTAGATAATCATGACAAATAAAAAATAATAATCAAACTAAAACCCTCCCAAAAATAAAGCGGAGTAAAGAAAATTTATTTACGAATTTTCAAGAAATGCATATGAAGTTTAATTAATTAATTGCTAGACAAACTTTGTAAAATTTATAAATTGTTTGTTTACAAGGAAGGGATGACCATAGATAAATAGTCTAGACCAAAATTAAGTTTATTGTCAACTAATCCCCAACACGGTACGGTGATCCGTCGTACAGCCTAAATTTCCCCACATCCAGGTTGTTTGACTCCATGAAAGTCAATATATTTTCGACGAGGTCCTCACCGAACTAGAAACAAAATATGTAATTACAAATAAATTTGGGTCAATAACAATATTAAAAAACAATTAATAAATAGCTTACAGAAATTTTATGAATGGTGACCCTGTCCATTCCATCCATTTCGAGCAGGAGTTGTTTAAACATATCCATCTCAACCTCGGACAACTCGTACGTCCCAAAATCTCCATCGTACGTATTAATTTCTAAAGTTGCAAGACCTGAAATTGAAGTACATGATATTAGAAAATTCATACTCAGCAATTCAGCATGCAAATTATGTAAGTAGCTTATTTTTTCCGAAAATTGCACACTAACGTTGAAACAATTCCCTCCCTTGTAAAAGCGCCTGGATAAAGGCCCCCATTTCCGTGGGATACTTGGGCAGCGTCACCTTCAAACGTTTCAACCTCCCCCAACCCCGACACCCCTCCAGGATGACGTCCACCTCCAATCTGGTCACTTCCGCTTCGAAGTCCGTCACCCACAAGCGATTCATCTCCAACGCCTCCACGTTCGGAAATGCGGTTGCCACTCCGTCCAGCAGTCTGGGATCGTACAGCTCGATAAGCTCCAACTTCCGTACACCTGCCAGGATCATTTTCTTGTCGCAAATTCCTCTCAAAATTTCATCCACACTTCGCAACTCTTTCAGTTCTCTGCCAATCAGCAAAGTTTCCACGGAGGGCATCATTTCAATATTTTGCAAAAAGTCGGCACACTGAAACATTTCGACGATACGGTTGGAAAACTTTCGTAATTTCGGCATCCTTCTCGACAAGCGGAATCTAAACTTTTTGAAATCGTAGTTTTCGGAGGGTACCAGCATATATTGGTTTTGATCTGTGCCGAAGCACAGGTTGACGAGATGGTTATCGACTTGGCGCAACATTTCCAACAGTTTTGAAACGTTTTGGGTGTCCGCGACGTCACTTGGGTAGACGTTATCCAGCGCAATGGTTAAGGATTCGAGATGCTTGGATTTTGGCAAGTTTGGATAGAACCCCCACGGAATGGTGACCACCTTTAAGTTTGGTGAAGCCTTGACGACCAGCTGGATGAAATTGGCGAGGGCCGTGACAAACTCGATTTCCGGGTAGAAATTCCAACAAGTGAGGGAGAACAGGGTCAAGTTCGGTTTTTTTGGCAGCTCTCCGGGTGAAAATAGATCCAGATCCTTGGCTTGGATAAATTTACCTTCAATTCGCAATTGTTTCAAATTGGGACAACAATTTTTCAAAACTTGAAAAATAGGTTTTAGCGAATTTCCACCCTCTATGCAAAGCTTTAAAATTTGTATGCGATCACTGAATTTGTCGCAAATGTGCATCAGCTTCCAGTCAAAGGAAAGGAGGTCACTTGCTGCGCTGATCCGTTTCGCGAGTCGGCCATCCACTAAGGTGCAACACATTCCGAAATATTGGAAAGCTTCGGAATCTTCGATAGTAGATTCATCTTGGTCTGAATCTTGGGACGAATTTTCGCCAGAATCTTCTTTACGGGTCAGCTTTAAGGCAAGTCTGGTATTTGGAAGGGAGAGAACAGTTTCGTTCCAAAATTTCGAAACCAGGCGACAATTTTTTAAAGGAGTTGATGCCCATTTGAATATTTCCGTTAAAATCTGCAAGTTCGCGAAATAGTTTAACATCTTTTTTTAATGAGGATAAAATTATTTTAGACTTACAATCTGATTGTTCAGTGGGTTCTCTTTCACGGTCATTTCCTCTCGAACGGACTCCATGTCACCCAAGATGAATCCTTATCTAACGAAACTCTCAAAATTTCAGCAAATGTTTCTATTTCATATTTGATAAATAAATCTGGTTAGTATTAATTTTTCAAACAATTTTAAGTTCTTAAAATTACAAATGCTCTGCAAGGACTTACCCTTTCGTTGAAACTGATCAATATTCACAAGGTGGACTTAATTACTGTTAATTTGAAAAATTGTTGGGCGCCAACTGCTCAGTTTCACAGAGTACGTTGGTAGGATTTCTGCGTTGAGAACCAAAGGCAAAAATTGTCAAATTCTGTCCTAGATCCTAGTGTAACGCTGCGCTCCGCTCCACCACCACTCCATCACGCATACTCAAATAGTGCACTGTTTACATGAAACGCACGTGCACTCATGTTTCTCGTCAAAACTTCTGTCCACTTTAATAAATATTTAATCCAAAAATAAATAAAACACCCCTCTTCCACGAGACCTTTTAAAGTAAATTCTTCGCAACAGCACTTATTTTCCATAATTAGTGTCCACGGTTAGAAATTTGGCATGGTCAGGCAGATATTGATTTCTCGTATTAAATTTGCTACCGCTTAGTATTAAACTTATACCGGTCCGTAAAAATTTGCTACCGATATGGTAAACAGCAAGAAAATGATACACTTTTTAGCCCGAGTCAGGGCTTATAGAACCGTCATGTCCGTCCGTCTGTCCGGCACGATAGAGCCAAATTGACCGACTGAACCGATTGACTTGACATTTCTACTACCATATGCATATTGGACAAAGTTAGGAAACGAGTTCGAAGATGGGCGAAATCAGTCAAGTGGATGACCGGTGGGGGTCATCGGAGTGGGTGGGATATTATGCACCAAAATTTCAAAATTGTGCTAGAAAGCTGTAATTTGGTATAGAGCTTGCTGAATGCTAATGACTCTTAGTGGAAGAATATAAATTCAAATTAGAAAAATTATCGTCTGAAGGGATACGAGGAGGTGACCCAGACCGATTTTTAAAAATCATTATATCGAGTCTAAATTTGGCATTTAGGTTGCTGATTGCTTGGAAGAGAATACATTAGAATTTAAAAAAAATCATCTGGAAGGATCCTATCGGGGGACCCGCCGATTTTCCGAAATTAACATGGAAAGCTGAAACTTGGACCAAGAGATCCTTGCTGCTTTCTTATGAAATAATATGAAGTTAAATATGAACAAAAATTGGCCAGAGGGGCATTAGAGGGTGACCCCTACCGATTTCTAAAAGTTGATATAATCAGTTGAAATTTAGAATGGAGTCAAGAATTAGTGCAAAATAGGAGCACATAATTTTATAGAAAATTAGTAAACATGGGTTTACTAAGCAATGCTGGTTCGAGCTATGCAAAGCTGTACTGATAGGTTATTAAAAGTTTCCATCTGAAATTTGGTATGGGGGATAAAAACCACTTTTAGATAGCACACACAGGTTTGGAAGTTCAAGATGTTAAAGTATTTGATACCAAATAGTAGAAAATCGAACAAACATTTAACTATGAACTTCACGGAGTTCTGTAATATTATGTTGGTCAATTCGGAGAAAAATTTAGAACTCAGACTCACCGAGTCAGGGACTCTGCCCCTGACTCGGGCTGTAGTATGCACTGTGTAGGTTTTCATTGTGTCTATGTACAATCATACAATATAATTATTTTATGTACAGGCATTGACGCAGTAATAAAACCATGAAAGTATCAATGCAAACGAAACCATGCAGCAGCCAGCATTGGTTTCATGAAATGCGAAACAACGTGAGCTGGATGTGAGACAAAGTGTGAAACAAAGTGAGACGTAGTGGTGGTGGTTTCATTCCCGGCAACCAAAATTTTGCCTTTGGGTCTGCAGGCCTAAAACTGACCATCCCACTATGAGAATCATGTGGAATGGAAACCATCAATTTGAAAAACTGAATAGGAATGTAGAAAATATTTGCACATTCCTGTCGCGAAATAATTCGTTTCCATTTCCCGGGAGTGGCAAGTGACTGTGCATAAAGTACGTCATCAACTTTGGGTGAAATGTCACCAGATCCTTCCAATAATGTTCATTATAAAATCGTACCCGATTTTGAAGAGTTCATAATTCTTCCAGAATTCAGCATGTACTTTACGCACGGTCCCTAGCGTCTCAATTCGCGTCTTGGTTCATGAAAAATTCTTGACGTAGACTTGCAATTGATGAACGGCATGCATATTTTTCCTGATTAGTTATTTTGAAGAATATGTACTCAGCTTGGATCTGCAAGGACATCTGAGGACATTAGCCTTGCATGAAGCAGGGGTATTTATATTGACCCTTTGGCCTCTGTCTCTGCGTTTCCGCGGCTAGCTGGTTTTGATTGTAGACTTAGAAATGAAAATTTTCAGGGAGATGACAATTTATGAAGTCCTCTTTCTTTCCTGAATTATTTGATGCAAGTTAAGTAGAAGAATGCTAGCTCGCTCTGTAAAATCTGCCCATTTTGGATGCTTTTTCCCATCGGTGAGGCGCTGTTCGTAAACTTCGTAACGCTGGCTAACCATGGGAAGATAGGGAAAAACTTGCATTTGTCGCAGGAATGAATTTTCTCCTTGGTCGTGGGGTGTATCACACCCACGTGCCTTCTAATGTCCCAGGCTGTGCGGAATTTTTTCTCACAAAGAGCACACGGATAATTCCCCTGATTTTCATTTCCGTTGAGATGGGTGCCCTGTAAAATAATTATGCAAGTGAATGGGGACACAAGAAAGCAGATAATTTTTGTATTCCAGTTTTCCTCTATTGTAATGCTAAACCCATCATTTAATTTGGAAAACTGGAAATTTTGATATTTTAATGATGATAAAAAGTTATCTAGTTGGGTTTAGCAAAAAGATAAAGGATGACTCAAAGAAATCTAAAATAATGATATGTTTTTTAAACAGGTATAGGTATGTATTTATCTATTATCTAGTATGTGTAAAGCTTTTGCAAGTATTTGCCTCTACGGTGGATTATGCACATACCTCGTGACGGTTCAGGCTATTCTTTCGGGGGAAACCCATCCCACAAGTGGAACACTGGTATGGCTTCTCGGTGGTGTGGGTATGAATGTGAGTCTCAAGATAGACCCGGGCTTTAAATTCTTTGCTACAAAGTGTGCACCGAAATCGGACCGGATTCTCGGCATGTTCGATTTTCACGTGTTTCGAAACACTTTCCTTGTATTTGTAAGTTTTCTCACAGCCGGGAAACGTGCATGGGAAACGGGGGCGTTTTATCCTTCTGTGAACGATGTCAATATGTTGACGTAAACCGGAGGACGTGGCAAACACCCGGTGACAAATATCGCAACTTGGGTGGTCTTGGTGGTTGGTGTGAAGTCTTCCGATATGAGCAGACAAACTGGCTGGATTTTTCAAAATTTTCCTACAGATCTGAACAAACCAAATTAGATAAATTATGAATTATCATACAAATTTGTAATTTCAAATTCAAGACTCACCTCACATTTCACCTCGGGCTCGTGCGTGCCCATGTGTCCAGCGAACTTGCTGTTGGTTTTGAATGTTTTTGAGCATTCGGGACATTTAAAATTCTTTTTCCCTTGCTTTTGCTTAGGATCCATCTGGATTCGGTTTTTAGGAACATGCATAATTTTAAATGTATCGCTAAAAATGAAATTATACCAATTTTTAATTATAACACTAATTACGGTTTGGGAAGACGGAGTCTCCTCCGACTTTGCTCCGGAATCTATGGATGCATCACAATCTTGTTAAATTTATTACTTAACTAATTGCTATTTAAGTATTAACGAATTACCGAAATCCAAATCCGTACCGCGGTTATTACGAGGGTCCAATTCCAATTGGTTGCTCAATAATCCCAAAGTCTTCGTCATCGTCCACATTGCAAAATTGTTCGTCGTCGTCTTCTGGACTTGGTGACGAGCGCATTTCTTCGTCCACCTCGACTCCATCGTCAACCGAGTCATGGTCACCGTCGTCGACATGCGACTCGTTTGTCGGACTGCTACCCAGTTGAAGTTGAAGTTGAAGTTGGTCCTCCGAAGTGGCGACGGTCAAGACGTCAGTAAACGGCAAAGCCAAAATGTCATCAAGCAGCTGTAGCAGATTTGTGATGCCGTCTGTATATAAAATTTATCGAAAATATTAAAATAAACTGCCACTTTCTGCTCTCAAGATTAATTTTGAGCAGTTAATTTAATATTAAATTACCAAATTTATCTAGTACTGAAATGCTGTCAGAAATTTTGCAAATCCTTTGTCGACTCCGACCTACAAATTTTTTCAGGAATTCGACTTCTTCCAACAACTCGGTCGCCAAGTCGGGCTCCATCTCGTGTCGTCCTCCTATAATTTGGTGAGGTTAATATTGAAAAAAAAGCCGGAAGGAGAAATCAATGAATAAGATATTTTTATTTATCAATTCAAAAGATTTCTCTAAGAAATGAATCCAAATCCTTAAATTTACCTCGTAAGTGGCGTGGCACTGGTAAGATCTCCGCACTTTGCAGATGTTGACTTTGAAAATGTATGGTCTATAAACAAAAATTAAGACTTTAACAAACGATTTGAAATGATTTGAATACGTAGTAAAACATGGATTGTAATTTAATTAAATAAAATTTGAAAATATTACCAGCCAAGCCTATTGTATGTTGGTTGAGTTCACTGCAGATTTCGTCACATGACTGTCAGGGATGCAGTGCCGTAAGTGTTAATTACCGGGCCCGAACGGGGCCCCCAAATTGAAACCTGAAAGTTGAATGTTTTTTTGTTTGCATAATGTGCGTCGAAATATGTCACCATGAAATATAGTTGGTTACCATTCGAATTGCTATAAATTTTGGCGGGAAAAATCAAAATTTATAGCAATTCGAATGGTAACCAACTATATTTCATGGTGACATATTTCGACGCACATTATGCAAACAAACAAACATTCAATTTTCAGGTTTCAGTATGGGCGTAAATTCATAGCTTCGGCACTGCATCCCTGGCAGTCATGTGACGAAATCTGCAGTGAACTCAACCAACATACAATAGGCTTGTTACCAGCTGTTGAAGTTCCTGTATTGTTATCGACGAGTACTTAAAATTCAGATTTTTAACCAGCGGTGATACTGGGGCAGAGTGTGACTAATTCTTCGCAGTAATCTGAATTTTCCTTGAGAACGTCCATATATTGCGTCGTTACGTCATCAAGAAGGTGGAATTGGGTCGCTTTAAGCGACTCGCTTATCTTACTCTTATTAAGCTTAGCATGAGTACTAGGATAGGGAAGGGGTGGTTTCAAAATCGCTGCTGCTGTTTCGAACTAATTTGGAGGGATGTTTCTATTACTAAATTTAAATAGGATGTGAGTATAAAGTCGTTTCTAAAATTCTGGCCGATTTAAGTATTGATAAATTTAGTATGCATCTCACAATGCGTCAGTTTAAACGACATTATGATGGAATCCGTATGCGAAAATTTATATTCATCTCCCTCGCGAGAAAAATTTCACGATAAAACTGGAAATACTCACTAATGGATTCCGTCATAATTTCGTTTAAACTGAGCATTATGAAAAATCCTAAAACACGTGTTTAATTATTTATGTGAGGCTAGATAATTATCGTGGTTTCGTCAAAATCGGAGCGAGACCGCTGGCATCATCGTTTGCCGGACTGCGACCCGACGGATCCGTGATAGTTTGAAGTTGGCCCTCCGAAGTGGCGACGATCAAGTCGTCAGTAAACGGCAAAGCCAAAATGTCATCAAGCAGCTGTAGCAGTTCTGTAATAACTCTGCGTTTACCATCTGGATTTAAAATGTATCGAAAACATTAAAATCAAGTAGGTACTTCCTGCTCTAAAGATCAATTTATAAATGAGTCAATTAATATTAAATTACCAAGGTTATCATGTTCGGAAATGGTTTCAGAAATTTTGCAAATCCTTTGTCGACTCCGAGCTACAAATTTTTTCAGGAATTCGACCTCTTCCAACAACTCGGTCGCCAAGGCCTAAGGCCTCCATCTCGTTCTCGTGTCGTCCCTCTGTAATTTGGTGACGTTAATATTTAAAAAAAGCCCGAAGGGTAAATAAATAATATATTTTTATTATCGTCGTTCGAGAAAAATTTCCTTGAAGAATGAATACTTAGATTTACCTCGTGGCACCGATAAGATATCTGCACTTTGAAAATCGATGGTCTATAAACAAAAGTTAAGACTTTTACATATGACTAGGGATTTTAATACGTAATTGAATAATGTTATGGATTGGAATATAATTAAATAAAGTTTGAAATTATTACCAGCTGTTAAAATTCCGGTGTTGTTGTCGCCAAGTGCTTAAAATTCAGATTTGCCACCACAATGGTGAAACAGGGGCAGGCTGAGACTCTTTGTTCTCACACTTTTGCATTGTTTTTTATTCAGGGGTGAAAACCCCTTTATGGAAATGTCTTGTCCGTCCGTCCGTCCGTATCCACGATAACTGCAGAACCAGTGTGTGCAGAGCAAAAACGCAGGCAGTGCCTTTTTGCCTGCCTCTTTGCCTTTTTGCCCTTTTGCTAATTTGGGGCGACATGAGACGAGAGTCCCGTGATAAAATTAAAGTGAAAGTTATTCATTGCGTTTTTAATACTTTTCGAAAATATGAGCTCAAAATTTGTCAAAATTTGTTTAATTAAGCTGATGGCGATGTAGAAACAACGCTGAAGATATTTGGGGAAAAGTATTCAACTAATTTGAAGTATTGATGAAAGTCAGAACCCTCCAATACAATTTTAAAAACATATTGCAGATTCCGCAATTTCTTTAATACGTTATAAACGACAATAAATCGGGTTCAATCTCAAAAGTCGAGCAAAAAGGCATCAAACAGGCAAAAAGGCATCAAAAAGGCAAAAAGGCACGCAAAAAGGCAAAAAGGCATTGAAAAAGGCAAAAAGGCATGTAGAAAAAGCAAAAAGGCTGCCTTTTTGCACACACTGTGCAGAACGAATTCGAATTTCGACATCCGGTTTTCGCAAGCGTGTTTCTAATTTTTGGGGATGGGATGAGTTCGAAGGTGGGCGTTGTAGGTCGTAAGGTCACGGCGCCACGGTGATGACGCCAACGGTCAAACGTGTCGAATTTTTTGTTTCCATCGTTTTAGACGTGCCATCACTTCGACGTGCGACGACCTCTTGACCGTGTTTATCTATAAATTTATTACGCATGCAGCTGCTTACTATTTTTGTTTATGCATGAATATTTCCAAAACTTCTGCGAATTTAACTCTATGTATTAAGGGGCATATGCCATCTATATATTCTAGATATTTATATCCATAAATAATGCAACGCAAAAATCGCAATGTGAGCATATTGTATCTGCATTTATTTAGGTTATTCTTAATTACTGAGGGTATTCACAATTGTCTTTGCTTCCTTACCACCCAAAAATAGTTCAAGAAAAGAGAAAACAAGGGTTCAAAATCTTACAAATCTTAACAAACCTTAGAACTAATTTTACGATACCAAGAATACAACGGAATCATGAATACCGCCAACATTAATTAATTAAATAAGAACATACATAATCATATCTCAATAAAAGTCATGTCGTGTTTCATATGTAAATTTCCATGCATCATGAAACAAAACAAATCATTCTAGTAAAATGATGTTACATATTTATCTATCAATCTTTTTGACCGATTCGTTTTCCAAGATGATAAAATCACTGATCGAGCCGTCAGGGTACACCGTCCCTGCTTCGTAAACGACCTGAAGCGATAAATCAGGAGCGGCTAATTTCATATAGCAAAATTCTTCCACCGATTCGGCCTCGAAGAGGGTCCCCATTCCCCACAAAGTCCACAATTCATCCGCATTCTGAATGTAGTTCATGTCGTAACCGTAGAAAATCTGAAAACGAAAATTTGATTTAATTACTCTGAAATAATTGATCAATTTTTTTTTTTAAATAAGGAGTGATTAATTTTTTGTGGATTGGCTAGATTTTTTTTGCTCTGCAAAGCAAAGGAAGCCCAAAGCAAAGGAAACCCAAGAAATGCAAGGTACAAAGAAATGAGAAAAAATGCCAGAAATAGGCGCCACATATTTAGTGGCGTCATCCCTTTAATTACTTATAGTAAAACAGTGTGAGCCGCTAGGTGGCGCATGTCCTACATTTTTTTTTAGATTTTTCGAATTTCTTTGCAAGAATGCCCGAAAATCTTCAAAAAATCAATTTGGTTTAAAAAATCCAACAGAAATACACCTACGATCTTGGTCTCAAATTAATTTAACACATAAAGGTAATAGACGAATTTCAAATTTGGGTGAACCAAACTTTGTAATAGAACTAAAAAATCCTTTGTAAATTTCTACAAATACTGTCATAAACCAAATTAACTTTCATAGAATCATAATTTTCTTTGAACTAAAACACAAAATTCCTTTTGTAAGTTTCCACAAAAATTGTCCATCCATACCCCAATCATCCTTCGAAAGTCGAGCTCCTTCAAATTGTGTAACCCGTAACGATCAAACAGTTTTCCGTCCTCGTTGTCGATTAAGGCGTCCAAGACGACGGACTTTCCGTACACGAGGCGGGTCAGGAGAGTGACCTGGTACTTTAAAGAATCGCCAGATGGAAGAGTTTCCGACATGGTGAACTTAAAGTCAATCGACTCCCCGGGATTTCTAAAGGTCAATTTGGCATCACGAAGGTGAAATGATGCAGCACTTGGTCGGTCTTTGGGCTGAAAATGCGGAAGGCATGTAATTAATTAATATGCAAATTCTGGTACAATGTCAAAAATATCGACGCCATGTATGTAAATATACAAGCCATTAATATTTAATATTCTAAATTCCAAAATTGCTTGCATATTTGCATAAAAACAAGTTAAAAATGCAACTTCAGTTCAACTCTTTTATGTACTCACCCAGTTTTTCGATGTATAAATTTTTTCCGGTCTTTGAGCCATATTGGTTGAAATCTTAAAAAAACGATTCTTCAGACGTGTTTAGTCTCAGAACGATATTGCGATTGCAGAAGTTGATAAGTTTGTTGCAAATGTGTGTGTAGAAAGACTTTAAAGCGAGTCGCTTTTCTGATTCTAAGTTTGTATATTTCCAGAAATATATGTATTAACCCCTTCCTCTTCGGTTCGCTGGCCACGTTAAGCAACTGAAACGCCTAAAGGCCTCCAGTGACGGTGCATGCATACATACATACATATACAAATGCATACATATTGTGAAACATGGGACAAAAATATGTAAGCGTACTTAACCCTTTATACATATCCGCTTTTCGTGGAATTCAAATTGGGAAAATATGCATTATTATAAATAGATGCATACATATGTACATACATACACTGTATCGTCACTTACATATGATAATTTCCAACCCTTTAAAATAGTCTGGAATGTGATTAGGCCTTTTTAATCCACGCTGCACATTTTTACGAAGTTAAACATATATTTCCTTTGGCTGAGCCAAACTGGTCTAAATTTCTTACCTCGTACATATGCCTCAGATCTGTTATTTTATACACAACTATTAATAATAAACCCTTACAAACGAATATAAAAATGTAGCGTCAGAACGATCGAAATTTCCTTAAAAATGACATCATATCTGACAATTATATATTTTTGACCCCTGACCTCGTCTTCATGGTCATGAGGTCAAAAATATTAACGTCCTTGAAATCGGGGTCAAATTTCCTTTAAACTGACACCCCATATGACAATTAAGTATCTTTTTGACCTGTGACCTCGTCCACAAGGTCATGAGGTCAAAAATATTAACGTCCTTGAAATCGCGATCAAATTTCCTTTAAAATGACACCCCATATGAAAATTAACGTGAATTTAATTTTGGACCACACCCCCTGGCGCTGTGGGGGGTGGTCCGATTGCCCCATTTTCGAACTCGACCGAGAACTAAAAATTAGAAGCACAATGGCGAAAACCGCTTCTAATTATGTTGAGGCATTCTAAAGATATCCTGCTTACGGACGGACGGTCGGACGGACGGACGGACGGACGGACAGACAGACAGACAGACAGACGGACAAAGTGATCACAATAAGTAGCTGACGCTACTTAATAAAGCGTATTGATTTATGTACATCAGTGAGATGCACATGCATATGTAGGTAGGTACATATTTTGGGCATGAAATTAAATGCTTAGTGGGGAAAACAGTGTGCATCCAGAGTACATAAGTACATACATTGGCATGCAAATTATGTATGTCTCATCTTATGTATGTGCATGTGTATGTACATATGTCCAATAAGTAAGGCATTGATATATGTATGCACCTAGATGCATACATGACGAGAATATGACTGTATAATTTCATCGCATGCACACATATATAGTGGAATACTTAACCAATAACTATTATTATTATTATTAATTACATAATCATGCATCATGGAAGTATGTATTTGGTATAACTTTTGAAAGTTTTTTTTAGCTTAATGTTAATGTTTAATTCATAATTACCAAATAAATTTGGAAGGCTTCACACAATCAAGCTTTAATTCACATTCTAAATTAAATTCCGAAAATTAACTCGAATTTGAGTTGGATCACGAAACAATTGTGTAAAAATTGTCCCACTTTGCGTAAAATTTTATACAACTTTGGACAATTTTTACCAAATTGTTGTATCATGATTCTCTATTTTTTCTAGCTTGGAAATTTTGTTTATGTAGAGTGTGTAACCCACATTTAAATAATAGACTGTACAGAAAAATAGCGTATGTACACATGCATGCAAATATGTACATATGTACAAAGTATGCGTAAGCCACATGGTGACAAATATGTAAATACAAGAAATTTATATAACTGGCTCTTAATTTAGGTTTCTTTAATCTCATTTCGTTTTAGCATGGATTAGATTGCTTTATACAATCCCCAGTACAAATAAAATTGTACATATAAATATTCAGAAATCAAGAATATGTACGAATTTCGAAATTTTTTGTATGTATAATTTTCTATGGACAAAGTGGGTTATTGACCAAATTGAAAAACTGGTTATTCATCGTCTCCGCCCAGACCTCATAACCCCTCAGCGTAAGATGTAACCCATCATAAAACAAATCCGTGGGCACCGTTCCGATCGCATCGCCTTGAAACTGGGTTTCCATATCGAGAAAGAAAACGCTCAAATTATCCGCATAACCTCGAATGATAGCGTTCACGTTTCTAATCCTGTTGTGAATGTCGACCCCGTTTCTCGGCAGGATTCCGAGCAGGAGGATTTTGACGCCACGATTCTTGTCCTTAATCAGGTTGAGGATCTGGCCAATATTTTGGGCCACCGTGGTCTCTGGAACGCCACCGGAGAGATCGTTCGTCCCGATTTTGAGGACGGCGACGTGAGCCCCGAGCCCATCGATGATGCCCTGATTGTTAATCCGGTCAATAATCGTGGTCGTCCTGTCGCCCGAAACGCCCGTGTTGACGGCGCCCAGCGGAGCGTAAAATTGTTGCCAGACGGGGGCCCCGTTTCCGTTGTCGAACGCGTCGGTGATGGAGTCTCCGAGGAAGACGGCGTTCGTGCAACGGTCTTGTTTCGGGGCTAGATGAGACAAATAATTAAATGTCGGTTAAATGTTATTGTTGAGAAAGGGACGTCCATGTATTACGTCATCAGAAAGGTGGGTGGGTACATATGGGGTGTCTATCTTAGGATTAGTCATGTGCAGAACAGGGAAAGGGTGGGTGGGTGGTAAAAAAAATGCGTTTCTTGACGACGTAATATATGAACGCTCTCTAAAGCAAAATTGCAAACCTGGAACAGCCAATGCGGACCCGCAGAGGACAAGGAGGACCAGTAACTTCATGGTTGAAACGTTGAAATTGATTGAGCTGTGAGAATTATGATGTCGTCGAATCCAATTAATTTTAAATTGTGCAAACCACTGGTATTTATACTGACCACTTTTATCAATAATGTCAACCACAGAGATAAGTAAATGATGTTTATACGGTGGCATGTCCTATTGTGTGCAGTATTTTATGTAATTTGTTTATCTTGGAATGCAAAATTAATTAATTATTGAGATAAAGGTGTTGTCAATCGATCACTCCAAATTCATATGGTCTCGTCCAGAGAAGAATAATACTGCATAATTTATCCAGCTCAAGTGAAATGACAATATTGCATTCCAATCTTGACGTGTTGACGTATGTAAAACTTCCCCTTGAGATAATTTATTTATGTAAGGGTCGTGTGCAACGTGGGACAAATTTAGCCATACAGGTGTGTATCCCATCCTCAGTTTCGTGTAGTATAATTGTGTCAAACATTTTTTAATTGTATTGATTACGGTTACGATAAGTAGGTTGTGGCTGGAGCATGATTTTCAATTACAATTATGACGAGTTATCAACAGGTGCTGGAGATGCAATAGTGGGCAATATGTGTAGTATTTCAATTGATAAATGTCGCATAAATATGTTGATTTATATCAGATGATATATGCATGTATGTATGTAAATATGTATGCAAGATAGCTACAATTTCATAATGCTTATGTTATTATTGTGGTAGTATAAATTAACAACAGCATAGTGTCGAGTCCAGTGGCCGCAGAAGCAAGTAATAATATCCCCATCATCTGCGCATGTTGTAAAAACCCGTCCTCTTCCTATCCTACAATGTTAATATCCCCAGATGCCCACACTTCTCCCGTGGCCACTGATAATGCCGATGTAGATTGTTTTGTTGTTGATTTTAAATACAAATGCGAATCTTAGTGCAACAAAGTACACATGTACTCAAGTGCATACTTGCATGTGAACATATACATTTGCGTGCCATGCAATGCTAACTAAGTAAACATCAATTTTTGTAATTTGAAAAAAATATAGGTATATACATATTGGCTTTAAATCAGTACGTCACAATGTTGTTCATTGTCACGAGTGATTTCTACGTGTGGGCAAAATACATGCTTAATCAGGCCTAGTTATTTTCTGTTCCAATATTGGATACGGATTTCCATTCAACTTATTACATCCTTGATTGCGATTGCATTTGTATGTATGTCGTTGCATGCGTAGTAAAGAGAAGGTGAATATGTTGACGATAATGTAGCATTACGCATTATTCGTACCTATGTATGTACAAACAATTATGCATTCAGACTTAATTACATCGTCGGGCCATTATTGTACGCACTTTCTTTCCGTATCTTGCAAATACTTGCAATACGAGCAACCGGGGGTTCAATAACCTTGAAATGTAATAGCGAAGAGAATGGGGACAGAGGAACGTTGGTCACAATTTAGTCACTTCCCGAGAAAACTGAGGTGAATTTCTGCATGCGTACTTACATATGCACAGCAACAAGTAATCACTTACTAAATACAAGAAAATTGCAAATGAAAAGTTTTTAAACCTCAGTTATATATCTCAAATAACACCCCACTTATTGTGACCATGTTGCAAAGTGTAGTTCCCATTGTCCTAATAACTATTCCATTATTCCTCACCACAAATGGAGCAACTTTTGAGTGTAGGATTATACATTTGCCAAATCGTAGATATGTAGCAGACATTACTTTTCTCAAGGGAAATTATTCTTTTCAGATCGTGGAAGGAATATGACCCTGCCAACCTCACGAATAGTTGGGGGACGTCCAGTATCAATAGAACAATTTCCATACCAGGTTTCCATTCAATATGGTGCATCACACTACTGCGGGGGATCACTTATATCGGAAAGTCACGTGCTCACTGCGGCGTAAGAAATTATTAATTTGATGTGTCGCTCAAATATTTAATAGGATTAAAATTAAAATTCATTACAAATATATGTAGTCAATGCACAGACGGATTGAACATTGGGGACCTAACAGTCATAGCTGGAACTTCAACCTTACATCGTGGTGGGGAGCGAAGGAGGGTAATCGGGGTTAATCAGCATCCACGCTATGGGGAACGGGGTCAAGGTGATTACGATGTTTCAATCTTGACGGTAAGGGACCACTATATATGAAATCGTACCTTATTGAGCAGCTTCATCACAATTTTTCTAAACTTTTAACCAAGTTACGTGATGATACGCGCAAAACTGCATTTCAATATATTCGCAAGTATTAGATTAAAAATTTCTGTTAAATTAGAGTTGACCAGAAATTTTCAACTGTTACCTTGAAATGATAATTCGTCTTCTTAGCTAAGACGCCCGTTCGTGCTTGGACCGCTCGTGCAATATATCTCATTAGCTGGTCCATATTCCACCCCTTTCCCAGGAACAATTTGTTACGTGGCTGGATGGGGTAAGAAATTTAATAGATAACTTCCCCATGAAGAAAAAATTCGTCAAAAATGTATATATTTACATATTTAATACTTAACCCCTTAATACGTATATATGTACAATAACTTATTTTCACATGTCTTATTTTCTTTGCTTCGACTACTTTGAGCTGACTAGAAATTTAAAATTTCTGCAAAATACCATAATGAAAGACTTAAAAAACTTGACATATTTAGGAACTACCCGATTTGATGGACCTTTATCGCATCAGCTACAACTTGTCGAAGTTCCCATAATTAGCCCGGCCGAGTGCAGGGGTGACTATGGCCCCGGTTCTCTTACGGATACGATGCTATGTGCTGGACATATTGGACAAGATACTTGTCAAGTGGGTGGATTTGAAATTAAACTATGACATTTAATTAATGGTAATCTAGGCTTAAATTTTGGTAGGGAGATGTCGGAAATCCTTTGGTATGTGGCTCGACCCAAGTTGGGATTGCAAGCCGGGCAACTGGCTGTGGTCTCCCACGTATGCAAATAATTAATACATTTAACGCGAATAAGTGGCTAATCTATGGAAAATATATGTGGCAATTTTTGCTTTATGCAACGCAATTCTATTTTGACAGGTCGTCCCGGGATTTATACGGATGTCGGGAGAGTTTTTAGTGAAGTTTCGTCAGCATTTGTTCGAAGGATCGTAAAGGCTTAATAGGTAATCGTTCTGAAGTGTTTTAATATTCCTGATAACTGTATAATTTATTTAGTGTCGTAATCCTTTGCGAAATAAATCGATTTGTTAAAATTTAAGATGATTGTAATCATCAATGGTAACCTAATGGAGTTGTTAAATAGTTGAAATTAGCATAATTACATTTTGTATTAAACATAAACTTATGTAACAAGTAAATGGATAACGGGACGAATTTGATCAATCTTGGATGAGATTACACCGTTTCAATATCCTACTCATTCATGTTAATCTTAAAATGAGTAGCTAATCTCCTCCCCCCACTTTAGTCCCCTCCTTAATCATCCTCATAGTTAACTTCGCAATCTCCTCTACCTTCGGGCTCTCCCTCTTCTTCCCTTCCAACAACTTTCACCCTTTTTTCTCTACATTCTTTTCCTCCCCCACCCTCCTTAAGAACCTGAAGTTGAACTGAAAAAATTATATAATCTAAAAGCTTCATATTGGCACGAATCAGACTTAGCATAATTGAATGGTTGATATCATACTTACTCTCCTTTAATATGCGGTTAGCATTACCAGCAGTATTACCTGTAAAAGATTAAATTCAGAATTCTTGCACTTACAACTTTGTTTATTAAAACGCCCCGTCAGAAATCAGAAACACTTTTTGATAAAAAAACAGCTCACCAATCTGGTCAACCCTAAACACGCAAAAACGCGCGACGAGGCACCCCACCGCGAGAAGTATGGCAAAAAGAGCGATTGCCATACCTGAAATTTCCAATGTATACATTGACTTTGAGCCACCACGTCGAATTTCACATTAATATATATGAATTTTTGGTTCAGGGGCCGAGAATAAATTAAGTAACGCGAAAATTTTCTGGACCCTATATGTCACATAGACATGATATCCTTCGAGCCTTAGACCCTCCCCTCCCCATTTCGCATCACAAATTTATGAACGGCACTTTTCTCTCAAATATTCTCAAAATTGTCAAATTTTGCTAGCTTAAGCCTCTATGGTATGACGCGTTCCCGCCTCGTCTCATATTCCCCCTTAAAAAATGTACGTCATGCTTCCTTATGGAGACCTTAAAATCCATACCTCTCCGTTAATCTGGAATGAAATTTAAATGTGACTACTTTAAAAAATTCTATATTTTCAACTTTACAAATCTCAGCCAGCCGATTGTTGTAAAAAAATTCCTTAACTGTAAAATGCAGCAAACTTTGAAGGAAGGAAATTTTTTTTAACAATCGGGACCATTATGCGATAAAAATTTCGCCAAAATTGATCAACATTTTCAAAATGCATCCGTCCCCATTTAAATTACCCCAGAATATGGCATTCTGGAGTTGTCGAATGCGTACAGATGGACCTGACAAATAGGTATGTAGATAAGCCATTACTCGGGCTAAAAACTTACCGAGAAATATCCAGCAAACCGGGCTACTTTCCGTTTCTGGACGAATAGTTGTTGTTGTTGGAATAGAGGGGCACGCGTCCTCCGCAAGAGGCGGCACAATCGTCCGCCACAACTGCCCAACCAAAGACACCTTCGTAGGGACACAAAGAGTTGACCCAGAAACTGGCTGCCCCCAATAACATCCACTTGCAACACATGGCATACACGACGTAACGTTTGACAAGCACGTCATGCTAATAAAAAAATATCTATTGGGGGTAGTCATTACGAGTTCGCATATTGTTAGCGGCATTCGCCAAAAATAAAGTACGTAAGTGCGCAAAAAGATGAACTTGCGAATTGGCGCATCTTTAAGGTTAGTATTTAGTTCGCAATTTTTTTCAAAGTTATGTTCCGATGCGAACTCGCAATGAATACCAGCATTATTTGGTTATGATCACTACTCATATCCTTCACGTAAACATTAGCTTTTAACATACCTGGTCGATCGAGGCCCTCTTTTTGATCAAAGAAAAAATGATATCGGTTGCAAAACCCAATGGACTATCTTGTTCAACACTCAACAGCGAAATCTTCCTTCTTTCCAGTCTTGTCAATCAGAGAAAATGACTTGGAAAAAATTCTGGCATAGTGAACGGTTGCATTGAGAAAGAGAGTTATACATACATATGTAGATCATGTATTTTTAGCAGATAGCACAACTCATTCCTTTGTTAACAAAGTAAGGAGGATGTCAGTTTCTAGAGCGTCAAAATATACAAATGATGTGACAGACATGCACAAATAATTTCCCTGTATATACATATCTACTATTTAGTATGTACTTGGTTTCCAGGACATAAGTATTCTTTCTGTGCAAGAAAATTATCTGCGGAAGAACAGTAAGATACGCAGTGGTTTCCTGCCTGACCCTAAGTTTTTTTCACTCCCAAACATTGCTTAAAATACATTCATATGTTCATATTTACACATTGTGAGTATTTCATCTTTAATTGGTGTTATTTTTAAGCGTGTTGTGTAAGAAATTCGAGTAAACAATAGCTGAGACAGTTTGGGATCTTCATTTACCAACTACATAAATAAAACATTTTGCATGTGTGTATGTACGTATCTCCCTTTACAGGGAACTCTTATGTATTAGGGTTGCCGCGGGTAGCGAAAATGCTGCCCGTTACCCGACCCGCTACCCGTAGCACAACTACCCGTACCCGCTACCCGTTATGAGAATTTAGCTAAACCCTAACCAGCCTTAAGAATAAATTCGAATTAATTAATTATTGGCTCATTTGGGTTGATATGTAGTTTCAGATAATGCTGCATGCCATACTTTGATATGGGAAAGTCACTAGTTGTTTCTGAAACTAAACCTTTGGGCTTACAATGGAATGTTTTTCAAACTACATCGGCATTTCTTAGCGAATTATATCAAAATATTAAGCCACAAATTAGGAATTTTCAATTATCTTTCCCTTGAATAGCCCGTTTAAAGAAAACTATTGGGGCACAGTTCAAAGTCCACCGTGGTTTCCATCCAGTGGAAGAAAAAGATGCAGAACCTTTAATTAAAAATTGATCTTTGTCGCCAATATTTTTCTTCAAAGTAGACATTCAACGGAAAGTATCACGCGATTCCTAATGTTTGGCCAGGCTTTTTAATATACCCCGCTAGACGATCTTGGTTTAGTTTGAAAAAAGGTTCAATCTAAATACTGAGGGTTAGGCGAGATTACAGAACGTGTCGAAAATTATTAATTTTTGGGCGAAATATCCATCGCTAGATATTTTGAATGATCTCATCGTATTCTTCATCCTTTTCTCATGAGGAATGAAGTTATTATTTCCAAAAAGCCGGGCTTTTAAAGCCGGCAGCAGATTTTCTTTGAACCACTATTCATCTAAAAGTTTGCAAAATGCGTAAAAATTTTTTTTATGTCCATTTGAAAAAAGTGTCGATCTGAAGTTTCAAATCAGAATTAAAGCACTGGAGGCGCATAACCGGACGTAAGTAGTTTATCTTTATGCAAAATAATTTAAATTCCGAGTACTACAAAAAGAATGGCTGCGAACTGGGTGGTAATCCGAGCGTTGTCAGAGAAAAAGTTTCGCGTCGACCTCATATCTTCTGATCCTTGCTGAAGTTGTGCATATCTTGGTGAATAATTCAGTTCAGTGTACGCCCAGGGACCTGACACTTCGTGGCCAGTTGATTTTGGATTGATAAAATAATTCTTGCCTTGTCTATATCAATTTTTCTCGCGTGCGTCGGGCTTCTTACAGTCCGGGGAACATGCGTTCGACGGATGTGATGTGGCACCATCAAATTTCTTGCCTGGTTCCTTTTTTCAACTGAATCCTTTATATTAGGCATTGGGCCATTAGAAATGACAGTTTTTTCATCATGGAGTTTGTTTAGTATTTTTTTGTACGTCATTATTGCTTGGCAAACTGTTTTATCAGCATGGAGCTCTTTGGGGTCCATTTCTGGACCCGTTTTCAAACTTTCGAAATTGAGCTTTTGGGTCACGGCGGAGCTTGAACCAAGCTTCGAGAAAAGTTTCGAATATTCGGAAATAGCGCAATTGTTTAATTTATATGGGCAAATTGCTACACGTTCTGTAATCTCGCCTAACCCTCTGTACAGTCTGATTTTTGAAATTTTGGTATACATGAAGTTTTCATTACAAAATTGTCTACAAATAACATTATTGCTTTCAATCGGATTCAGGTTTTTCACCTTTAAAGTATAAATTAAAATCTCATCAGTCTTCTTACACAGAAATACAAGTCACATTATTACTGATATTTATGAGCAGGAAAATTATACTTGAGTAACAATAATTTCTCCGCATTTTCGGGACGTGAAAAGTATTTGAGACCGCCGTAGGCTTCTGTGGCTTCCGAAAAGACACGCTCGCTATAAACCCTAGTTGCTGTAAAATGACAAATTTTGAAATGAATAAATAATAAATTGACGCTTTTGTTGGGAAATGGGCTAACTTGTTGCTAACTTTCTTTGTGAACTGATTTATGTCGAAAATTAAATAAAAGCCGAACTACCCGTTACCCGTGCGGGTAGCTCTCGCTACCCGCAGAGAACGGGTACCCGCAGGAATTGTGCGGGTATGCGGGTAACGGGTACCCGACCCGTTACCCGCGGCAACCCTAGTATTCTGTACTCATTTTTTCACGACATGCCGAGATTGAATAATCTCTGTCAAACATTTTCTTCTCCATCGTCACTGATGCATGCACGTACGTTATAAGTAATGTGTATTTACATACATAACATGCTACATATTCTTTATACATTGTCCCTGCCAGATTGGTAGTAGTTTGTTCCCGAGTGGCAATTTTTTCATTATCACAAAACGGTACATATATAATAAGGGTTGATTAGTGACAGAAAACTAAATATTACCGAGGTAGATACATTTTGAGCATGGCTGCTTTATTTATTGCCAACGATGTATAATCGCAAATCCGTGTGCAGGACGGAGTCAAATTCTGGAGAGAAATCCTTCTCTCTAGTTGTATTTCTTTGAGCTTTCTCATCGAATCAGATGGTAAGTGGCTCGAGACACCTGGCTATAATCAATCACATCCGCTTTGCATAGGCTCTAACAAATGTTATATGTATATAGATAGTCAATATAGTTAAATATTCATATGACTATTTTGAAACAAATATGACGCATATGCACATACATACACCAGTACACATTACCCACCAAATAAATTTTTATTCAATTAAAACCCATGTCACGTATTTTTTGATTAAATCATAAAAATATTACTGCGGTTTGTATCTAGCAAAACCCAAGAAGTCTATCGTTTTACAAATTTCGCGTTAAATGGGTGTGGCTTAAGTAGCATTCCAGCCATCATGTCCAATCTGGGGATCGGTTCGCCATCAAGGACGCAAACCTTGTATTTTTGCACGAGGGAGGTAAGCGTCAGAAATGTGACAATATTTGCAAACTTAACACCAGGACAGTTTCGTTTCCCTGTGACAATAAATAAGCAGATGTTAAATATCGGTAAATAATTGTCATTTTTCTTAGGTGAGGCATAGTAACCATGACCACATGAAAAAGTGCATGGTTACGGCGAAGCCTAAGAATGCAAACAGACCCCCCCTCCAAATATTCCGCTCAAGTTTGTGACAAAACGGCTAATCGTATCAAAATGGTGTAAAAGGCAATCGTGCAGACCTTACTGAGAAGATTATGCCCGTCAATTCGAGGGAGATGACAATCTAATTTTAACGCATTTAAAATCGATTTTAAACTTTCAAACGACTGGCAAATTCACTTTTACCATGCAATGATAGTGCGAGACCCTGATTTTCATGTGCAGAAATCTATAACGCGCCATTCAAAGCAAACCCGAGCGAAATCGGATAAAAAATGAAAAACTTTTCTTGGTGGTATCTGCAACCAGTTACGTTACTTATAACAGTCCTCCATTACTTATCATGCATACCTAAATACGAGGTTTCCATTAGTAACCAGCATAAGAGAAACAATTGAGACATGTACTGGCGTATGGAAATGTGTGCATCTACATATGTGTATATCTAATATTTATCCACGTTCTTAACTGTGAGTCCACACCCACAGGAGAAACTATTTCGTACACTCTTAGAAATTCAATATTAAAATAATAACAGGTATTCAAGCACGATTCTATAAAAATGGTATTGATAAGTAATACCATGTAGTACACTCTTAAACCCGGTGTTAATCGTCACCAAACGGTGTACACATGCGACGTAGCCAAACGGTGATAATGTTTTCACCGCTTGGTGATAAATCTTGCCTGCATGGGGACAAATTGTCACTGGCTGGTGTTAATTTTACCACCATTTGGTTACGTCGCATGTGTACATGTTATTACCGCACGGTGTAGTCACATATACACACCGTTTGGTGACGATTAACACCGGGTTTTAAAGAGTTTAATGGCTCGGTACTAAAGTTTTGCCATATCGGTAGCAAATTTTTACGGTTCGGTATAATTTTGATACCGCGCGGTAGCAACTTTAATACTGAGCAAACAATACCTGCCTGACCATACCAGATTTCTACAGTTTACATATAAGGGAATTAATCTAATATGCAGCGCATATTAGACTTGACCCACATGTTATAATTAATTTGGTATTTAATGTAATGCATCTATACCCTAGCGGGATAGTTAATTTGGGAGGGACTCTTATTTGCAGGCTTAAAAACAAAAAATAAATAAATTCTTTAAAAAAAGCTTAGATGAGGCTTGCTTAAAAGGGGAAAACAAGCTGTTATCATCGTGTACTAAAATAATGTGGTGCATCAGTGTTTATCCTTGGATTTATCATTTTCGGTAAATATCCCAACAACATATTATGCACTAGGGACCATTTGCCTCACCGTGGGCCGTTTTATGATACTAAGAATGTAAATAAATTTTAAATTTTATCAATTTTAACCTCGGTGAGAATATGCGATAAATATGAAATGATACTGGATCTACGAAATTCCAAAGTTTTGGAGATTTGTAAAGTTGGATACATAGGTAGCTTATACATACGTACCAATGCAAATGATGAGTTGCTATTAACAAGTTAGCGATGTAGTGCAAAAAAATATTTAGAAATAAAGCCAAATCTACGCTAAATAAAATTACGCACCAGGATTTTAACAAAGCTGTTCCTGAGATTTTCTTCAATATGATGAAAATTTACTCAATCGAAAAAGAAAACCTAGTGATTGGGGTTGAGTAATCCAATTTGGTTGCTTCTTTCATATATTGCTGTGCGTTCCTAATTTTGAGTATTTGTTCTGATCATTTAGTAAGATTCATCGAATATCGTTATCTGTAATCGATTAATGATCAAACTTACATATGATCCACATTTAAGAACACTGAATTTTAAAAACATAAATAAATTTTTGAAATAGATATTCGAAATAGCCATTTTCGCCAATAAATCGCTCCGGTCGGAATTCTTCAGGATCGCCCCATCTCTCCTTGTCCTCGTAGTAGAGTCTTGTATCGCAAAGTAGGATGGTACCCTGAGTCCCCACAAGAAATTTGCATGCAGACATTTATCAGATTATTTTTATCCTTAAATATATACGCCTACTCTTAAAAGCAATGCAACCCTTTTTGAAAAGTAAAATTATAAATTACTTAAGCGAACTGTACTCTTTATCAAGTTAATGTTACTCTGAATTTCGTATGATTTATTTAATATTGAACTGAGGGGACATTTACTTTTCAAAACCGTAAGCTTATTTTTAAGTGTGCATGCCAAAATTATACCTTTTTGATAATGTAATTTTTATACGGAATATCACTTTGGGCGAGTCTTGGCAATAAGTTCTGGACCATTCTCGCTTTCCGGTGTATTTCCAAAAGGTAGGCTTGGGTATATGGCATACTAAATATTTAAGAAAATATAATTTTAAAAAGTTAATAGAACAATTAACACGGTCCTAAGATTGTGAAATTCTGCAAATTTTCAAGCTTCTACAAAATTTTTAAAATATATCTGAACATCATTAGCGTAAAAATTGTGTTAACTTACGTCTCCCAGCGTGTGCCCTCAGATTTAAATTAGTGTCAATCAAGTAAAACTTTAATTAGTATCAAAATTTGCAAACGACACGATCTACCAATGCAGCCGAGGCACATATTTGCATTCAAGGAAAAAACCCGGCCAACGGTTAACAAATTGCACACTTTCCAAATTTACTAGGAGTTTAATCCTCTTCGGATAAAAAATATCTCTACCAAACCTGCACATTGGCAAATCGTTCCATTTGCAAATATGATAAAAATTGAAGACAATACTATCGATTGCTACTAATTTGGTAAAAATCGGGGAGCCTACACTGGGAGACCTTAACGGTCCGTTGAACGGCGTCTTTTGCATAAGTTTGTGCAGTTATTTTTCAAAATTTACAGATCTCGCAAGTTATTACAACCCAGGGTTGTATAAATATGTTGCAAATAATTTGCAAATATTATTTAAGTTCCTACTTGTTCCGATCCGAGTAACTGATATACATTCCGTTCCGGGCAACGCTTACAATTTCTTGATAGATTTTCTCCTGAACGGCCGGATAAGCAACCAGGAAGAGGACGATGGTTTCCATGAATGTCGCTGATGAGTCAACACTAGCAAAGAAGAGGTCTTGAAATATTAATTGAAAGTTTTCACCTACATAAAAGTATGCATATGTAAAAAGAATTGTTAAAAAAAATTATTTTTGAAATGTGTAGTAATAATCCATACAATTAACCAGTTGCCTCCCAAGCACATGAATGTCATGTGGCGCACAAGCCGTCGCCAAGGGCCCAAGTACATCAAAGTCATGTACTCCTTGAACGGTAACCATGCGCCCAAATACATCAATGTCGTGTACTCCGACTGCGGTAACCATGCGCCCAAGTACATCAATGTCATGTAATTCCAAAAACACAATTTTCCGCCCGAGCACATCAACGTCGTGTATTTAAAAAAAAAATCCGTAAAAATTTCTAAATAGCTTTAGTTTGTTTGGAGCTTGTATATTACAATTGCTTAGATCTTCAAGCATGTCAGGTAAGTATTTATCATCAACAAGCATATATATAAATATATATCCTATATTCTCACACTTGAAAATACGTGCAGACAGTGAAGACGTCGAATTTTCTCTCGGCCAGTTCTCAGATTGCGACTCCGATGAGGAATTCTTGCGACACGAACACAACGACGATGATGACGAGAACCTGGTAACCTTTCCGGAAGATGAAGATGAAGAAGGCGCGGATGTGGATTCTGAAACCGAGTTGGGTGACCCCAATGAATACCCCGATGTACGTATATTATTTGTACATATGTATATTACTAAATAATTGTATTTTCCCCTCATTGATTCGTATTTCAGACCAATGTTATACGCTATCGTAAAAATGTCCCATTTACACCACAAGTTAGTGATTATGAGGATCCAGGGGAATTTCTAAAGCCGGATTTTGGAGTCACGATGGAATCTACTGCTCTAGAGATTCTACAAAAATTCTTGGACCCCGAAATTTTGGATGAAATCGTCCTTCAGACAAACATGTATGTTCAATACCTAAAATGCGCGGATCGGAACACAATGAAGGATTGGACTGTGGTGAATGGTGAAGAAATGCGATTGAAGCAACTTGGTACATACATTCTTGGGACGGTGCAGAAAAGAAGAAAACTGATGCCGAGATGGACGGACAAATTAGCAAAGGGACAAGTTGCTACTAATTCTTCCTCTGACATTTTAGTGGAACGGTAAGCTTGTGCAGAGTTTACCAATAAACACAATACAATAATATGAACGTCAAATTTCAACAGAATGACATGAATAATTTCATTTTATGATTTTTAGGTGGTCGGACCGGAGAGAAGTGATTATGTTGAACACATTTATGGGACACCGAATGGAAGAAATCACTACCACAAACCCCAACAACAACCGAGAGAAACCATCAACTGTTCTCGTTTATAATGCGACAATGGGCGCTGTGGATAACGTCGACAGAGTCACTAAGCCCTTCACATCTGTCCGCAAATCCTTCAAATGGTACAAGAAAATATTCTTCTACTTCTTGGACATAGCAATTTACAATTCGCACATCATTCACTCTTCTTTCCGGCCAACGAAGGAACACTCAAGTTATAAGGATTTTGTACGAATTATAATCAAACAAATATTAGAAAAATATCCACCACAACGTCGATCATTGGGGAGGAAGTCGAACACCCAGTTAGAGCGGCGAATCGGCACCCACCTTCCAGAAAAGATTCTAAAAGACGATGTCTCGGTCTTCCGGGACTGTCACCTCTGCGGTTTGGAAGGAAGAAGGTGCACCACAGCTTTCAGGTGTGAAAAATGTCTGAAATTTTTCTGCATCAAGAGCCAAGACTCGTGTTTCAAGAGATTCCATACACTTCCGAAACTACCTGTTAAAAGGAAACATGCTTCCGCTACTGCATCTTCAACAACGACCAGTCAAAGCCTCATGGACCAATCAGTACCTAGGTCAACTAACTCTGAAATTGGATCAGGATTCGGTGAAGCGAATGAAGTGAGATTTCAGGAAGCGAATTTTGAATCAAATGTTGAAGGAATGGAGGAAGAAGAACTGTTTTGTATTTAAAATGTGAAATTAATTGTGATTGTGTAAAAATATTTTGCCGAACTATGAATAAGTTTGTGAAATTTTATAATTCGTGATTTATAGTTGTTTTCCCGAGTTTTTCCGGCCTATATTCGAATTGACTATCATGATGTTGTATGGTGTTTTATTGTGAAAAAAATTGCTTCGCGGCATAAGTAATGATAATTAAAACGATTTCCACTTATCATATTATCAGTATCACCCTTGCATTAATTTGGGCTATAGCGTACTTGTCAGCATTTCATATCTTGGGTCGCAGTGAAAATGCTTCTCCAAGAAAAGTGGTACAAAACTCACGAAATTCAAAGGCTTATCTTGGGGGCTTAGCAACTATTTTATGGCTTCAAATGTGGCAGGCAACTGGTTAAACAACTCGGGATCACTTGCTGCAAAATAATTTTGGACGAAAGTTTCCAATAAAGAAGAAGAAGAATGTGACGTCATTTTGGAAGACTTTAATTGGCTTTCCGTCTCAAGGAAAAGGTGCTGAAAAAGAAATTTAATATTTGGTTTTAAAAGTTACCACGATTAAATATCCGATTAAATAAAAATTATTTACAAAAGTTGCAAAATTATTAAATTATTTTGTAGTAATTATACCCATGTTTATTTTCAAATATAAATCTCACCTTACTGATCCCGTTACACGTCGTAAAATAATCCGTTTGTACATTATAATCCAAGGTTTCGGGGAAAATGCGTCTAAAAAATGGATAAGCCATGACGACTGCAATTCCATAGAAGCCAGTCTGCATTAGTGCATGTCCTTTATCCGATATAGCTTCCATGTTTGTCTCATCCTCCGGGGTAATACGACCCACAATGATTTTCCACATTATGGCAAGAATGGATGAGTTAAAGTACCGTTCTATTGGAATGACGCCACCTTGCGTGTCAATTTTATTATCGATGTCGGCAAACCAGGATTGCGATTCGATCTGGAAATTTGTATGTAGAGGTGAGTCGGATCAGGACGAGGCGGGTTCATAAATTAGCCGGATCCGGGTCGGGTTTTCAAAATGTTCGACCCGACTCATCCGTAAGAGGTGAGTCGGGTTACGGGTAAACCCTGCTCAACCCGACCTGTCCGTAACCAGATTGGGTTGGGACGGGTCGGGTTTATAGATTACCCGTTTCCATCTTTCAAAATGTTTGATCCGATTCAGCTCTAATGTAAATAAATTAAATTTGCAATTTGCAAATGACAAAAAATTCTAACTTTAGTGAAACGTTGCATGTCCAAAGATTTTCCGAAGCCGAAGTGTTTTAACGTTTTAAACGTCCACGTTTTCGTCTTCTCCCACATATTCCCATGTGATGCCGCAATGCCAAGGTTTTTATTAAAAACTCTATCTCCACTCGGTCCAGAAGTATCACGTGCCAAAGCGGCCTCATTTATGAAAATGGTTTCCATGGCTTCCTTCGATGTGAGAATGACTAAAGGAAATGGAAGTTTAAAAACTAATTCTAACGTTTTTGCTAAATTCTACAGGTAAGAAGAGCCATGACGAGGGAAAACTTAGCATAGATTATTTATTATGATTTCTTTCATGTACTGACCCCAGTCGGAAATTTTTCTGCATATTAATTTACAACACGTGCAAAATTTTTAACTTTGCTTCAAATATGTACGTTATTGACGTATATCTGCTGCATATGAAATTTAACATAGTTTTTATGCTAAATTGGTAAAAAAACAAGTTGACGTGAATAGTTGTCATGAAAATATGTATATATATGTATTTACATACGTTTGAACATATTAAGATTTGGGCTAAAAATTACCAACCCATTTTTCTGAATCCAATCCTTAAGGAATATATTTCTCCATACTTTTCTGCCAGTATTCCCAACGATAAAGTCGTATTATCTGACACGGTCGCCAAATGGAATAAATTTCCAATAATTGGCCACGGTTTTGGACCTGGAAATTGTAAATTGGAATATTTCCTAACTAAATTTTTCAGTTTTTTAAGCATATTCGTGTATGTATATATATTCTTACCATACCTGGAGGTTCGTTGGAATTGTCTTCCCAGGAAATAAAATAATAGACGCTGAGGCCCAAAAATATGCATACGGCGCACAGGGTGAACATTTTTCAGTTAAATGACACTTCGCTTATTGTGTTTCACTAAATATGTATGTAACTTTTAAGAGATTAAAATTCAAACTCTTTAAAGTTGCAAAATTCCAATAAACACTTTAATTTAAAAAGTTGGAGCTAATTAAGTAGAAATGCTCGCAATATGTTCACACTGAAGTTATTAAACTGGTTGTGAAATCATACCGTGATATATATCTCTGCATACTGCATTATACTGGAATAAGAACCACTTTCTGGTTGGTGAGATATTTTTACGGGGTACCTCAGTTTTATCGACATTCATAATAAACCTGCAAACCGAACACAATAAAGTGGCGTCATACAGCAAAATGTAAAAGCCTCAGGATTAAAATCACATCATTTAGGACCTTTCAGTTCATCGTCACTGTCACGTGTTGATCGGAAGCCTAAAATTTAAAAATTTGAGTAATTTTAAATTTTTTATTGAAATGGTCTTTAAATAATAATCGCCGTGTTGACGTCGATGATTTCGTGCCCGTTCAAAATTATGTACATATACATACACCCAATATAAAGATTAAGACAAAATTTAATTTTAGGCCGCACCCCCTCACGCGGGGGATGTCCCGATTTACCCCATTATCTAACTTGACTGACTATGAGAACTAAGAATTAGAGGCACAATGGGGAAAATGGTGTCGCATTATGTTGATGCGTTCTACAGATGTTCTGCTTACGGACGGACAGAAGGGCAAAACGATCTCATGAAGCGGCTGACGCCACAACACGATGCTGATACACAATGTATCATACATACAATGTATAAGTCAGTTTTCCAACACAAATCTTTGTTTATCAATTGAAACTTATCCAAAATTTTGGGTACCGTGAGAATAATACATAGTGCACTTTGGACCAGGGTTTAAATCTAGGCCGAACCGGGGTATACTGATTTCGGACAAGATGTCATAAGACTAACGTTAACTCAGCATTCTCCGATTCGACCTAGACTTACATAAAGCCTGCTTTGGACTTTCCCAGTTTTCTCGTCGGCACCTGTTTACAAGTTTGACCTGCAAGCTAAGTTCAAGTACCTGACTGAAGTTTGGCATGTAATAATTATGAATATTTCGCAGCCATATGCATAACTTGACAGACTACAAAACTATGTACATAGATTTAAATATATCGCACTGTATGTATGTATTTACATATAGAATTATCTACATATGTACATATGTGATATTCATATAAGCTAAAAATGTAACTTGATCACATAGTTTTACTTACACTAAAGGTTTGAACAACGGACAATACGCCGCCAATCTGTAATTTACCAATGAATTTAACTACAGAACGAGAGGAAATTTTATCACTTTTTTTAAAATTTTTATTATCTATTTTAGGGTGTATGAAAATTTATAATTTTTTCAAATTTTTTAACTGCATTCCGTATCATTTTTTCAAGTGACGAGATTATTTTTGACCAGGGTTAAGATTCTATAGAAGGTTTTCTACTGGTCCTCTTTGATGGGTGGGTGGGGCTCGAAGGAGGAAGAGGGCTGGGGCGTACGCTAAGCTGATGATGGCTATGGCGACAAGCATCCATTCGAAGCCGATGTTCTTGACGAGTATTCCGCTCAAAATGGGACCTGTGAGGAGAGAAAATATACAAATAAATTTGTTTAACTAGCGTAAGAGTGAAATGTGAAAAAAAGTTGAGAAAATACTTAAGGTTCCTATGGATGACATCTTTAAATGCAATTTCTAAAATTGAATCAACTCCATGAGTTTCGCCATAAATGCAACTTTTGATATTGCAATGTAAAGCCAACTTTTGATACTACAAAAAACTCGATTTGGAAAAAATAGCGAATTCATTTGTGAGGAAATTTAGTGTGAAAAATTGCAAACAAATTGGCTGAAGGTCTGACAATTGAGGTCTCCCAACGTATGCTCACAGATTTGGAAAATAATTCCACACCCTCGTTTCACTCACCAATTGCAAATCCAAGATTAAAAGCGACATCGCCAATCGCATAAACTGATCCGTACACTTCGCCCGTGTGCCTGATGTCGACCAACCGTCCCAGCTCGGGCATCATGGAAGAGACCACCATTCCAATAGCGAATCCTATTCCGACATTTGGTGCGATTAGTTGATTGAAACTGGTGGCGAGTGGAATCTGCCGAAAATAAAGATTTGTATCAAATTGGGCTTAATTTCTGAATGGGGAGAGAAATTGGTGTAAAATCTGACCCGGTCAGATTGACCCATTCAAACTCACACAAAGTAAGCAGATCCCAGCAACAATTAGTCCGATCATGGCTGCTAACCATCTATACAATAATTATGTCAAATACAGAATCGTTATTTGTGCAGGTTGGTTTTCAGGGAATATGGCTCCAAGAAAACTGCTAGTTTTAAAGTTAAGCGAATTATTTTACCAGTAATATCGTAATAATTGTTAATAATTTGGGGTAAAGTTTGTGTATTTGGGGGACACTTTTCTGCAACTTTCTGGGAAACGGATTTAGGGTAAAGTTTCATTTGCAAAGATTTAACCAAACAAACAGAATATGTATTGCACTCTTAAAAATAATGTTGCCCTTTTGAAAAGTAAATGCACTCTCAGTTCTGTATTAAATAATTAAATAAACTTTATTCAGTATTACTTAATCCAGAGCCTACTCTGGATTAAGTAATTCGGAATTGTTCAAGAAGGTAATATTAAATCTAAGAATGTGGAGGAAAAGGTAATTTTTTGACAAAAAAGACTCTTTTCTCACATTGATGACTTTACTTACCTCCCAATTCGGTAACCTAATCGTCCAAATAGTTTGATTCCGACGAAAAATGAGATAGAAGCCGGGAGGAAGACGGCCCCCAACTACCATTTAGGCGCGTTCAACGTGTCCATCATGTGAATTGGGAGGGACGGCTCTAACATTGTGATTCCCATGTTGACGAATGCGATAGCTCCTGGAGAAAGATAATATTTAGATACATTGAAACACAATAAATACTCTCCATTCGCGCACAGTTGAACTTTTGCAAAAATTGAGAACTTTGAAAAACTACGTCACTGTCAGTCTCAAATTGCCTCAAGTTGTTAGGACAGGAGACATTGAGACTGGCAGTGGCGTAGTTTATCAGAATTCTCAATTTCCGTAAAAGTTCAATCTTGCGTGGATGGAGAGTACATCGTCCGTGGCATCTTTCACATTATTAACACGCCGGTAGTGAATATGGAAAATGGTGGGATTCATACTCTTATAAAAATCCAGTATTAAAATAAGATGTGCCAAGCGGTACTCATACATACGTATACTTATATGAATATCAAAGTCGTATTGATAAGTAATCCCGTGTACTTTTGAGATATCGGCACATATGTACATAAGTGCAGAGTTGGTTATTTTTACTCTTTCAAAAATATGGAAAACACAAATACCTGCCGCCACCATGATGTATGGATCCGTGAGGAGTGCTATGAGGGATGGAGCCTCCAAACTTCGACTAAAAAAATGAAGAAAACTAATGTCAAGGTCAAAGGAGAAAAAAGTTAAGGTCATCAAGGCAGAAAGTATCGCCGTCTAATGATGAGAGGATTACAGTAACACCATGCAGTATTAATAATACCAAACTACTACTGCATTACTTATCAATACCGCTTTAGTAGTCATATACATACATATGAATACCGCTTGGTATTGTTTTACTACTGGATTTCTAATAGTGCATGGTTTTAACTAACCGAACAATTTCTGGCTGGACGACCAACAGTTGGAGAACTAGGGTAATATGAGATTTTTTGAAAAATTAAAAATGCGCTAATGACATTTATGAAATATATATATTTCTTACATCCAACCCCCAACGCGAGAGCAGCCAGGTACAAGAAGGGCTCCCTTTTCCCTACGAATTGATACATAAGTCCGCCAAACGGTGGTCCCACCAGGACGCCGAGTGCCAGCCCACCTAACGCTACCGCCATGGCGTTGCCACGCTCCTTATCGCCCGGATATCGTTCGGCCACCATGCCCATTCCTGTTTAGGTGGGTTGATGGATGGGAGGTTCAAAAATGAGACATGCTTAAGGCCCCATATCATCGTCATAGAGTTTTAGTCTCACTCGACCCTTGTTCACTATCTTTAAATGTAATTTCTAAAATTGAATCAACTCCATAAGTTTTGAGATAAATACAACTTTTGATATTTTAATCCAAGGCTAATTTTCGGTACTACAAACAAGTGGATTTGAAAAAAATTAAAAATTCAGTTTTTAAGGAAACTTAGACTGAACAAAAGGCAAAAGAATTTGCTATTTTTTTCAGATCTAGTTATTTATAGTACCAAAAATTATCTTTAGATTAAAATATCAAGACGTGTATCAAAACTCATGGAGTTGATTCAATTTTAGAAATTGGATTTAAATATATTGGATAGGGGTAGAGTGAGATTAACGCGCTAATGCGTCATCCACAGTAGCCTTAACAAAATGCACTTTCAGGTCTCGTTTTACAGGCTTGGAAACCTGACGCTAATCATACTAATTGTGTGGGAAGTAAAGCGCACTCTAAATAATCTTGTATAACATTTACTCAAGGTTCAGTAAAATAGTGGAGGACACATGCAACCATTGAGTACGATTTGTCCAACCTTGTCTAAAATGTTGTACATATTTACAACGATAGATAAAAATTAAAAAATTGGAAGAGATTTGTGAAATTTTCTTTTCATACAAACCTGACATTTGGGTACGGAGTTGTAGAAACTTTGAAAAGTGAAATTGGTAAAACTAAACTCTTAATTTGCTTTTAGGTTTCTGAGATTTTTACAAATTTTCGAAAATAGAAATTCAATTCGTTCGGTAAATCGTTTTATTTTATGAAAAATAATCTTCCCCCTTACCTGCCACACTCAAGCATGACGAAGCGATCCCATGTAACGCTCTGGCGAGAAACAAGACGCTGAATGAACGTCCGTACGCAAAAACTAGAAAGTGCAGGGAAATGTAATTTTAATTTAATTGATCTCCGCAAATAAAACAAAACTCTTACTGGTTGAGGAGACAAAGATTATAACAAGTCCGGTGAACATTGGAATAGAGTAGCCAATTCTGTGAAGAAAATATTTTGGTTTCTTAATTATTGACATGTATTTAAGAACGGATTTTTTTCTACCTTTGCCAAAGTTTTGGGATAATGCAATT